CCCTTTAGCTTTTATTTTAAGGCCAGTGTAATAGTAATGAATTCCTTAGTTTTTGCTTGTCTGTGAAAGCTTTTATTTCTCCTTTGCGTCTGAAGCATAAGCTTTAGTCAGTATAATAATCTTGACTTGCAGGTTTTTTTATTTTAGTACTCTCAATATTTTACTCTATTCTCTCCCGTAAGTGTTCTGCTAAGAAATCTACTGTTAGTTACATTAAAATTTCCTTATATGTGACTTGACACTTCTGATTTTTGAATTCTTTCTTTTTCTTTGATTTTTGACTTTTGACGATTTGACTATAGTGTATCTCAGATCATTTTCAGTTCTATCTTTGGGTTTCCTTTAGCTTCCTCGATCTGGATGTCCATCTCTCTCTCAGTGGCCTAGTTTGGGAGAGTTTGCGGTGGCAGTGGTGTGACTTTGCCAGAATGTTTCTCATGTTGGTGGCATATGCATACCAGTGGTAGGTTGGCCAGTTTGGAGTCTGGCTCACTGTGGTTGAAGTCACTGGGCTGTTGCTCTAGCCAGGAGCATAGGCACTTGGTTGCTTGGCTAGCCTGGAGCCATTTCCACCATTAGGGGCCCATTGGGCTGTTTCTCAGGTCCAGGCTGTGGGCTCATGGCTGCTTAGCCAGGCTGGAGTCATGCCTGCCAAGTACATCCTGAGGGATTGTTTCTCAGACCTTGATTGCAGGCACAGGGCTGTTGGGCAAGCCTGGGTGTCTGCAGGGAGTTGGGGTGGGGTGCTGCAGAGTTGTTTCTCAGGTCCTAAACATGGATGCTTAGTGGCCTGAAGGGGAATATCAGTGGCTCAGGGGCCTCTTCTTGTAGGAGGGCACACATTGGATTGGTTGGCTCATGGGCTGGTTGGTTCTGTGGGACTGGCCGGGTATTCTTCTGGTTGGAATTACGTTGGTGGGAAGTTGGTTTCCTTCCTGTGCAGGGCCTTAGTGACAGGCAATCTTGGGCCCATGTTCTCTGTGATGCTTGGGTTGTGGCATTCCGCCACCCGTGGGCTTTGGTGAAATGAAGGTAGAGTCCCAATGCTAGAGAAGAGCAGTGGCTTCTGGCTCCAGAGCAGGGTACACTCCAGAGGTGGCTGTGGTTTCAAGATGATGCCATCATGCAATAGCATGGCTCCAAGGATGTGTGTGTGGAGGTTGGGGAGTGCACATCTTGTGTTCTTAATCTAGGGCATTACAGCTGTTTGAATTCTTGGAAGCTCTCCAAACAGTGCTCAGGGCTTGTGAGAACTGTAGGAATCTTCTGTCATAAAGACTGTAGGTGTTTTTGGTGGCAGTGGAAGCTGGTGGGGTATTCTGCTTATCTTTTTCTCAAAATAGGAAGTTTTTCCTGACTCCAGGCAAATCCAGTCTGGGCAAGAGAAATGGGGCTACAGATACCATGTGCCTCCACACTGCCCTCCTGGACTTTAGTTACCACATGTGCATCTCTCTATGCTCTCTTGGTCTCCCCAGTGTTCTCTCTTCAACACTCCAGTCAGATCTTAGCTGTTTACTCATTGCCTTGGTTCTTTCTTGTTGGGAGGGGGGAAGATGAGCATCAGGCATCTTTAATCAGCGTTGTGTCCCCTTTCATTTTCATGTTACAGCATCTTTTCATAAACATTTATTTGGTTTTATTCTATGTACTCAAGTTTAAAGGAGACAGCATTATGACAAAGTATGTAGTTAATAAAATAGATGAGTTCTTGACCATGCTGGCAGTTTATCTACTTGTTTCTTTTTAAACCAGAGCCTTATGAAGGCTGTGACTAGTGTGACTTCTAGTGTGACTTCAGTGGAATCTGCAGAAAATCTCCTACCTGGTTTTCTAGTTTGGTACAGTTCAGTTTATTCCTGGTACACCCCATTATTGAGAAGTTGTAAAGAGACGAGGAGCATTATTTGACTTGTGTCACTTTGTAATTTGTTGTTGGGGGGAGTATCCCGAAATTTAAGAAAGGATTGAATAAATTGTCAGATATAGTTTATTCTTAGATAAGAACTCTCAATGGTATAATTCTATAAGTTCAAATTTTAAAACATAAGATTATAGTATATTTAAAACACTATCACTATCCAAATTATCTGAAATATAAAAACTCAAAAATCTACAGTTAATTGCAAACAGATAGTGTGACTTGTTTTATATTTAAAAAAAATAGATATGACTTCTGTTGACAGGTTGATCCCTAGAAAATACTCTTCTATATGGAATTTTCTTGTTGACAGACTTGCTACTTGGTTAAATATGTTGTTTCCTCTGGTTACATGCTAGTAAATCTTGTGTTTACTACATTACTTGTAAATAGCAATAGTTAATGAGCATAAAAATCCTTGGATGTTGGTAGGTCTAAGTAAATTATCCTGGTATGTTTTTAAAATTAATTTTTAGCTACAAAAATGTGGAAAGGAGTTAACCATATGGGTTATGTTGGTCAATATGATGTTAATAACCAACTAAATTTTTTTAGTATATAATCAAATTTGCAATGTTTGAAAGATGATAGTGTATCCATGGAAAAACTAATATAAATTAAAAGGTTGATTACCTAGCTTATTAAGTAGTAACTTTAGCAATAACCAGATTGGAACTAAATTATTATTTGAAGACACACTTGATAATACATTTAACTTATTTTTCAGACCATGCATACCCTATAAAACATTAGTACGTTGATCCAAGCAAAGTATAATTTGTTGTTTAAAGTTAAGTTTAGTGGAAAGAGAGCTATGAATCTGTTACAACTGTGAATTAAAATAAAATTTTAAGGCTCATCTCCCCCACTCCACCCCCACCCCCCACCCCCGGCTGACTGAATGGACCCTCCCCCTTGTGCCAAAATATCCTAAAACTAAAGTGTCTCCCAGGAGGAGGGAGGTCAGACATCCCTCATCATGCCCCCCTCCCTTCTTGGAGACATCTTTTGTAACCCATTAGCAGGTCTAAGAGTATGCAAGACAAACCTGCAGGTCCTCAATTTATACAACAAATCTATGTCTGGTGGCTTATCTCTGATAACAGCTCCTTATGTTGAAACATCCCAAGCCTTTAGACAAAGCTTTCTGTCTTTAACTAATTATAAGCCAAAGAATCTTTAAACCCACCTATAACCTATAAGCCCCTCCCCCATTCTAGATGGGCCACCTTTTCAGGCCAAACCACAATATGCCTCCCACATATTGATTGATGACTTTACCTGTAACCCCTATCTCCCTAAAACGTATAAAACCAAACTGTAACCCAGCCATATCGAGTCCACTTGCTCAAGACTTTTTGGGAGTGGCTCCGGGTCATGGTCCTCAAATTTGGCTCAGAATAAACTTTCAAATATTTCAGAGTTTGGATTTTTCTGTCCACGCAACTCTCTTTATGCATATGTAAAATGAAGGTATTATTAATATCCCCATTCCCTTCTTCAAAGAATTTGAAATGATTTTGAAGAATTCATCAAAATATAAAACAAAATCCTTTACGAATCAAAACAAAATTGGAGTCAAGAAAAATTATAAATACAAGCAAACTATCAAGAGATGGGAAAAGAATACTGCAGATTATTAATATTAAGAAAAACACTAAAAATAATATTTTGAGGAACCAAGTTTGTATCATCTAGGGTTGTGTTCTTGTATAAGGTCAGACCTGATCTAAAGGCAGACCTCTTGTACAGATAATTCTTTAATGTCACTTCTCAGCTAAGCTATTACTAGTAGTATGACAATTGAAATCTTGAGATTGTCTTCTTTTAAGAGGACCTAAACTATCTATGATCTAAGGTAGAGTTCGCTATGCTTTAAAAATCATACAGATATACCAGGAAAAGCCATAATTTTAAAAATCTTTTTATGAAACCTAATAATTTAAAATGAGAATATTTGCTTTTTCCTTTTGTACAGAGATGCTGCAGTGACATAAGGAGCATATTGCAGATACAAATAGTATTTTATTTTTGAAAATAGTTTACCAGTTGTCCCAGTGCCTTTGTTGAATAATCCTTTTTGTCCTCACTAAGTCGTGATGCTACCTATTTTTTTGTAAACACAGCCTCTTTTCCTGGACCATTTATTTTGTGATAGTACTCCTCTACTTTGCTATTGGAATGATTAGCCCATCATTACTCATCCTTTTGAAAAGGTTTTTTAGCTTTTTAAAATTTTGTTCATTTTCAAATTTTCAAAACTATATGTAGTGGTCATACGAAGAGATGTATATGATATATCACAATATAACAGTGATAGTCTGTGTCACTAATTGAAAAAAATGAATGTAAGTATGTGGTTCAGAAATCTTTAAGAAAATATGAAGCTTTATAATTGAATAGTTTAAGGTGATATAATACTTTCTGAATATAACCATAAATCTGTTTTAGTAGTAATTATTAGTAGTAAATTATTAGTATTGATTTTTTTTATTACAAGCCCTAAGTTTCCTTAATAAGGACTTTGTGTACATAGCAACTGACAGATGAACTATCTCTTTTTAGCTTGATCTCATGGTATTATTTTTCTTATTTTTATTTCATGGTAACAAAGTAGTTTACAATATTTCATAGAAATATATATATTTAGGGCATGCCTTTTATAATCATTTAGCATTGTTCTGATATATATTTTTAAATAGCTTTTAATGGATTTTAATGATATTTAGTAGAGTAAATGTTAGAAAGATGTATGTGTACTGAGACATGAAGTTCATAAGGGGCCATAGTTCAGTGTGACATGTAGAGAAATATTTTTTTTAAAACTTATAATTTCTTTCTAAATTTTTATTAAAAGTTTGGATACATGATGGAGGGTGTGATCAGTCCTGGCTCTGGTGTCTTAGGAGTCAGAAATGACATGTTCTACTTCATCCTTTTATCTGAAAAGAATTTGGAAATTTGTTAATTAAAATGTGTTTATATTCTGTTTCTACCACACAGTTTATAAAAGAATATGGGCTTCTTGTTATCTTTTGCCTATTATTAAACATTTTATAAACTTTTTATATTTATTTAGTTAATAAATCATGCTTTAAAAGAACTCATGGAAATAGAAGAAGTGAGTGAAAATATATTACACGTTCACCTAAATGGTATGTCATCATTTTGTCATTGGGAATGATATAAACTATGTGGGATTTTTATATTATGAAACTAAATTCACTTGTTTGTTTTAAGCCTATATTAATAATTAGATTTTGAAAGCTAAATCCATGTTCTATAAAGGAATCACATAAGGGCTCTGTTTTTTGTCTGTCTTTTCTTTTTCTTTAAGTAATACTACTAACCCTATGAAAAGTTGTTCTTTGACTCTACAAAATGTCTTTATTGCTGAGTTTTAAAAAGAAACTAATGTGAACCAACAAGGCTTTGATATTTTTCTTCCCAGTTAAATTAAAAAAGCATTGGAAAATATACATAACAGGAAGATTATCTGCTATATCAAATACATATTTCATTTCAATTAAATACTTTTAAATGGACTTTGTCTCAGGCCTGCTGCAGATCAATGATAAAATTGCCCTAAAGGAAATCACAAGGCAGTTAAATCTGGAAAATGTAGTTGGAGATAAAGTTTTTGTAAGTATCACTTATTATTAAATAAACTTCAAAGTAAAGTCCTTCTGAGAGGTTAGGAGGGGTTCAGAAATTCCAAGTTGAAATATGCAAGATTCTTTTCATAAAAATGTTTACTGTGTCAGGGTACATTTACTCATGATGTTTGGATTTTATTTTATAGTAGATTATACTAGCTATAAAAGAGCTAAGAAATTTACGTTTATATAGATATTATCTGAGTTTGTTCCACCCTGCATCTGTAAAATAAATACCCTGATTCTCTATTCTGGAAATAGATAAAAAATACATTTTTTAAAATACTATATTATAGCTGTATGAGACTTGGATGGCATGGGCATATTGGAAAATATGATGAATTTGAAGCTATAGTAGGTGGGTTTCAGTCTTGCCTTACTGAAAACCGTTTTACTACCTGGGAATTGTTGACTATGTATCTGAATTTCAGATTCCTCATGTGTTAAGTAGACGTTATTTTATTACACATACTTCACAGGATTATTCTAAAGAGGAAAGGACACAGTAAATAAATATCAATTAACTTTTAAAAAATACTTTGTGGATGGTAATGTGCTGTTCAAATGTCAGTTCTCTTACTATGTTTTCAGAAATTTATCCATGCCTCATTACCATAACAGCTTGGAGTCTCAGGACAGTGAACATCAATAACCTAAAAGAAACAGATTTGAAATGTCTATGAAACTTTTTATCTATTACCTAATATATAGGACCTAAGGAAAACATAATTTCATGATGAAATTACCTATTATACTGTTTATGCAGTTGAAGTGGGTTATATACATTCCATATTCATTTTCTGGTAACTAGTGACCATGAAGGGCTGTCACTCTAATTTTCTCTACTATGTGCTCTATATTGCAATGACACAGGCATAGTTGTGTAAGCCTTTAGCATTTAGGAATTTTATTCTTTAATAATTATCTATCAAAGTTGAGCCAAGCATATATTCCTCTTCTGTTGTCTGTAGTTCTTTGAATTACAAATTCAAAATGCCCCTTCTATCAGTCCCGTGTTCTACTTCCTGTTTAGAACATAATGTTGAAGCTAGTGTACTATTAGGCCAAAAGGTTCCTATTAAGTTGGCTCAGTTTGACTTTTGATTTCAAGTTGATCTGGCTAGGTGTTTCTGACACTTTTAAATGTATATATTCATATTGGATTTATATGAAATAATAAAAGGCACAGTTTATCATTCCATCCTAATCATCACTATTATCACCACCTATAACATTATTAGTTTAATTGCTTCACTATGTAAATTAGGCATTTGAGGCTCAGAGAGCATAATTAGCTTGTCTGTGGTCATAAAATGGCAGAGGTGGAACATAAGAACCTAAGTTACTTATGTAAGTATATTCTTAATGTCAGACATAGTAGCCTTTTACACAAAAAAGCTGAAAGACTAGCAACCTTTGAGAATTGACCACTGATTTTCTGACAGATTGTCTCTTTGAGCTTTTGTTATGTTATAGTAAATTATGGATAACATCTCTTGCCCTGTTTACTGTGGAAATAGTATTACCATGACAGCATACAGTTATGACAATATGTGAATGTTCTTTAAAAACCTATTTACTGTTTTATATTAGATCTCTCAATTGGAGATCTTTATATTAGATCTCTCAATTGGAACAAATGAGTAGATTTCTTTTCTTCTTTTTATCTCCTCAAATTTAAAGTTGGCTGTTTCTTTAAAAATCTGAATGAAATAAAAATTAATCACTTTAATGAAAAAATATTCTAATGGGCCTCTGCCCCAAATCTGAAACATCTGGATAATGCATCTACTACTCTGTTAAATTTTATCTAGAATATTTAAGTTGTATCCAGAAATGTTTTGGCTGTGTTTCAAATAAACATAGCCAAACTTGATATGATATATACAAAATCTTCCTTATAGTCTTGAATAGAGAGACTGTTATAGTAACTAATATTTCAAGCAGGTTTTTTCCTGCCTTTCCCTTTTGGATCTCATTTAAATTCATGGTCATTCTTTAGTGGTACAAATTAATTTGAGACTTGCAAGAGCCTGATGTATTTGACGACACAAAGTGGAATGCATTTCTAAGTTTCTAACTGTATTTAGAATATAGCAACTTTCCAAAACTACTTTTAAATAAATTTAACATTTTTACAGGTTTTGTCCAGAAAATTTCATATATGACATAGTTACTGCCATTTTCAGTGTTATGCCATCTCTACTTTTACATTTAAGTTTTAGATAGTAAGTATAAAGACTCTTGGCTGATTTTGGCCAATGACTAATTACTACAAAAAAATAGTGTCTATACAAAGAATCAGATAGCCCTATTTTACTCTTTATTTCACTAAACTTTTAGTCATGTTATCTTTTTTGTTATTCAGGGAAGTTTTGCTGAAAACCTTTCATTTCTTCTGGAAGCTTTAAAAAAAGGTAAATATTAACATATTTATCTGTATCAAAAGATATTTGTTTTAATTTTAATTTTCACCTGATTATAAAGGTAAAACATCCTTTTACAAAAAAACCCCTCAAACACAAATATAAAAAGAATAAAATGATCACTGTAATCCCACCTCCCATCGTTGTAATAGTGATTATCTTAATTAACATCTGGTTTCTTTTCTTTCTTCACCTGCAGCAAATCATCAATATAGATTTTAGATAGATATAACTTCTTTACAGATATAAAATTATTTTACCTATTTTATAATCAATAACTTTTGATTTGCATTATCATTTTAATGATTATTATATATTCTGTTTTGTAAGATGCTATAATTAATCAGCAGTTTGGGACTTCTGTTTCTAATTTTTTATAATTAGGAAGAAAGGATTAGATGATCGTCATGTATTTCTTGAGGTAAATTTCAATGAGTAGAAGTCTGGGTTAAAAAACACCATATTTAAAAGAGTAAATATTACGAAACTACCCTGGAAGTTTCACTTTCTAAACATATTTGAGAATACATTTTTCTTCACAACTTCAAAAATAATTAGTAGTTTTCATGTTTCCCAATCTTCTAGTTTAATTTTTGTAATTTTGTTCTTTGTTTAATATGCATAATTCTTATAGTGGTGATGCTCATCATTTCATATTGTTATCAACCATCGATATTTTCTGGCATACATATAGTCATGTGCTGCAAAGTGTTTCAGTGAGTGGTGGGCCACATATACAAAGGTGGTTTCATAAGATTGTAATACCATATTTTTACTATACCTTTTCTATGTTTAGATATATAATACATAACCTTTGTGTTATAGTTGCCTACAGTGTTCAGTTACAGTAATATGCTGTACAGGTTTGCAGCCTAGGAGCAATAGGCTACATCAGTAATACCAATAGCCTAGGTGTATATAGTAAGCATACTATGTAGGTTTATGTAAGTACACTCCATGATGTTTGCACAATGATGCCTGACAACACATTTCTCAGAACCTATCCCTGTCATTAAGCTATACCTGACTGTATTTCCTTTGGATCTTACTCTATTTTGGTGAGGTTTTGTGTCATACTTACTTACAGGAATTCTTGTGCTTATTTTTCTCTTCACTCAAAAGTTTGGTTTGGGGCCTGGTGTGGTGGCTCACGCCTGTAATCTTAGCACTCTGGGCGGCCAAGGCAAGTGGATCATTTGAGCTCAGGAGTTCGAGACCAGCCTGAGCAAGAGTGAGACCCCGTTTCTACTAAAAAAAATAGAAAGAAATTAGCTGGACAACTAAAAAAAACAAATTTATATATATTAGCCGGGCATGGTGGCACATGCCTGTAGTCCCAGCTACTCGGGAGGCTGAGGCAGGAAGATCACTTGTGCCCAGGAGTTTGAAGTTGCTGTGAGCTAGGCGGATGCCACAGCACCTCAACTCTAGCCCAGGCAACAGAGTGAGACTCTGTCTCAAAAAAAAAAAAAAAAGGGGGGGGGGTTTGGTTTGGACTTTTATGCTGAACAGAAGTTTTAAATTATTCACAGTTACATTTATCGAGAATTTTTTTCTCTCCTTCAGATTATGAAAACATTCACCCATGTTTTCATTTAATACATATATTTGTAGTTTATAATTTGGTTGGAATTTATTTTGGTATGAGGTATAGAATGGGGATCTAAATTTGAATAAACCATTTTTCCCCTCCAACATATAATGCTATATTTTATCAAATTGTTATATAGGTCTGTTTATAGACTTTTGAGTAGTCCCTTTGATTTTGTACCAGTATTAAATCATTTAGCCTGTTATATTTGTTTTAGTATCCATTGGAGTAAGTCTCCTTAATGAGTTTCTTTTCACTTTTTAAATGTAAATGTAAGCCTTCAAACCTCAGTTAAGAGGGATTCTTCTATTAAGGTAGTTATCATTGTTGGAGTGAGAAAATATATTCAGAGAGTCATGTTGAACTTTTCCCTCACTGTTGAAATGCTAAAAATTGTGATTTAAAGGAGTTAAGTGGCTTTGAAGCAGTTTTGTTCATTAATTAAGTGACTCCTATTATATTTTAATCTCTAAATGTTTTGATTCTATGTAGGTATTGAAAAGTCTGTCAGTTTCGTAATGACTAAATGAGAACTATATTTATAGAATTATAAAAATAATCATCTCCAGTCATTTAAATGATTTTTTAAATGTTATGTCAACTACCAGAGTGTAATAACTAGAATGGTTAACTACTTGAGGGTGATGGAGGGTATCTTTATCTTGTGAATAAATTTTTTCTGTTGAGTGAGTATATATGCATCAGTAAATGTGCTTCCCCAAAGTAGGTTATCAATATGTTTTTCGAATTGAGTTTTAAAGACTGAAATACAGTAAATATTTTGGAAATTTAGGAAAGGTTATATAATTGCTTGTTAATTTAAAGCTTTTCTTTTATTGTAGGTGATCGGACTAGCAGTTGCCCGGTGATCTTTATATTAGATGAATTTGATCTTTTTGCTCATCATAAAAACCAAACACTCCTCTATAATCTTTTTGACATTTCTCAGTCTGCACAAACCCCAATAGCAGTTATTGGACTTACATGTAGATTGGTAAGTCTTTCTATTAAAAACATTGATTATAATATTTAAAAATTGAAGCTTAATTGTTAATGTAATTAGTCTTCTTTCAGTTATTCAGGTCATTATATTAGGCATTTTAACACTTTTGTTTCATCAATGCCTCATATATTTATCTTGCTTTTCAACTCAAATTGAGGAAAACAAGAAGACAGGTACTTTAAACACCCATAAACTAATACCTCCCTCCTCTCAAGAAAATCACTGAAGAAAAAATAATAGAAATCGGATTATGCTAATGAAATTAGTAATTTCTACATTAGCAAATAAAGAGGCAGGTAAATAATCTCACCACTATTTTATAAAAATTGATAATAGTTTATGCTTTTACATTGAAAATTCTTTCCATATTTTGAAAATGCTTGAAATCAACTTTAAATGATACCATCCCAACTTTCTTAAGTACATTATCTCCAGAAAGAGATTCAAGCAGTCATAGTAGATATTGGCTGCTTTATTCCATAGGGTATTTTAGAATTATTTTAACCCTAGTTTCAATGTCACTATCACTTTTCTTTGTGAAGGTTCTATACATATTAAAACCTTGTGTACCTTTGGACAGTTACATAGGCCTTTCTGTGTTTACCTTCTTATACTCTTGTAGTCTTAAATGACCTTCCTGGATTCAGGTAAAACTGATATTTAAGAGTATCTTTGTTCATTTTGTATTGGTATAAACAGAATACCTGAGACTGAGTAATTTATAAAAAAAAGAAATTTATTGCCTCACAGTTTTGCAGGCCAGGAAGTTTAAGAGCATGGCACTGGCTTCCTACAAGGGCTTTCATACTGCATCATGACATGGTGGAAGGTCAAAGGGGTAGCAGGCATGTGGACAAAGAGACCAAGCAGGAAAGGGAACCTTGCTTTGTAACAACCTGTTCTCTCAGGAACTAAACCATTCCTAAGAGAGAGAGAACTCACTCTGGTGAGGTAGCGTTAATCTATTCATGAGGGATCCGCCTCCATGGCCCAGATACCTCCCACTGTTACACTGGCATATAAAACACAACATCAGTTTTGGTGGGGACAAACCACATCCAAACCATGTCAAAGAGTCACCCCCTTTCTCATACCATGACTGCCAAATCTCCATAGCTTTCTTCCATCCCCTGTTCCCCTAGAGCACACCCCCAATTCTTGGCAGACTTTTGTCAAGCCCGTTTGCTTATTCTCCTTTTCTACAGCTCTTTTTTTTTCTTTTTAAGAAAAGTGAAACTTTCCACTAAGTCATCTTTCAGCAGCCTTCCTTTCAGTGCTATTTTTCTGTGGAATGGCTGTCTCTGTACTTCCTTTCCTTGTGCTTTAGAGCTTATGATATATGGTGTCAAAATAAACTTCCTTCATAGAACATCTGGCTGGTACTCCACATATTTTTATTCCTTCTTGCCAAACCCACCAGGCTATCCCAGGCATAAAAGAAGCACTCTCCTTATTACTAAAAAAAAAAAAAAAAATCTTCCTTTGGATGGAAGTAGCAGTGGCAAATATTACTGGGTCAGTGAAGGACCAAATAAAAAAATAAAAGGTCAGTAGCTTAGCAGTGTTTTCAGGTGTTCTTTTTTCTGTACGTATAATTTTCTAACTGTGTAGTTCTTTCAAGTGTAGTTTATATCTATATATCCTTGTTTATAGGGAGAGATAGAGTAGTGACTTTGCCAGGAAGCAGCTTCTTTCCCAGTGGAAGAAATTTCTTTTTTTTTTTTTCCTTTATTTTAATTTTTTTGATGTTCCCTCTATCCCCACATTGCCAACTTATAATTATTATCCACCACTAAAACATTTACTTCTATCTTTTTCTTTTCATTCCCAAGTTCAGGCTCTTCATTGTTGCTTGCATAGAATATTATTTCTGCTGCCTTTCTACCTATGTTGGTGACCCAGAACTTCTTTTTTTTTTTTTTTTTTTTGAGACAGAGTCTCGCTTTGTTGCCCAGGCTAGAGTGAGTGCCATGGCGTCAGCCTAGCTCACAGCAACCTCAAACTCCTGGGCTCGAGTGATCCTTCTGCCTCAGCCTCCCGGGTAGCTGGGACTACAGGCATGCGCCACCATGCCCGGCTAATTTTATATATATATATCAATTGGCCAATTAATTTCTTTCTATTTATAGTAGAGACGGGGTCTCGCTCTTGCTCAGGCTGGTTTTGAACTCCTGACCTTGAGCAATCCACCCGCCTCGGCCTCCCAAGAGCTAGGATTACAGGCGTGAGCCACAGCGCCCGGCCTCAGAACTTCTTAATAGTAAATAAATATTATATATGATATTCCTGTCTCTGAACATCACATCCTTCTCTTTTAATTCTCATACTAGCTCTGTTCTTTTCTTTGACCTTAAAATAAAAATATAATAAAAATATTCTAGATTTTTCACTCTTCCTACCTCAAGCAGTTAATCTTTCCTGTCCTCCTTCCCAAACTATGTAATCCTATTTTGATCATTAGAATTTTTTCCTCTATATCTAGGTTATTAGGATATCTTAAATGATCATATTTCTAGGCCTCACTACACTTCTTTTTAAGAAGTTTTATTGTAGAAAATTTCAACAATATCCATAGGAAATAATAATACAAGGAGCCTCCAGTCTTCTTTCCACTCATTGCCTAATTTCAACAATTACCATACACTAGTTTTATTTACCCTCTAATATCTCCTTCCTCCTCTGTGTTAGTTTGAAGCAAAAGCCAGACATTATATCATGTTATCAGTGTTTCAGAATGTATTTTCAGAAAATAAGGACTCCTTAAAAAATATATTTCCCTAATAAAATTGTTATGCCTTAAAAATTAGAAATAATTCCTTTAATCAAATATATCACTGTTCATATTTAGGGGTGGGGGTTTTAATGACAGCCTTATTGAGATATAATTTACATATCATACAGTTCATTCATTTAAACTATACAATTCATTGGGTTTTTTTATATTCATAGAGTTGTGCTTTTATCACCACAATCAATTTAAGAGCCCCTTACCCTTTAGCAAAGTCCCCCCCATTCCATTTTCAACCCTAGGCAGCCGTTAATCTACTTTCTTTCTGTCTCTATGATAATTTGCCTTTTGTGGACATTTCACATAAATTGAATCATGTAACAGTCTTTTGTGACTGCCTTCTTTCCGTTAGCATAATGTTTTCATGGTTGATCTGTATTGTAGCATATATCTGTTCTTCATTCCTTTTTGTTGCCACATAATCCATTATGTAGATGTACCACACTTTGTTTAAACATTCATCAGTTGATGGACATTGATTCTTTATTTTTTTAAGGTATTATGAATGATACTGCTGTAAACATGCATGTACGCTTTGGGACATATAATTTCATTTTTCTTGGTTGTATACTTAGGAGTGTAATTATTAGGTAATATGATAACTTTATGTTCCATAATACATTTTGAAAGATTGCTCAAGTTCAGTATTAAAAAGAGATTTGAGAAGGACAAATTTTATCTATATGAGTTAAGAGGACAACTTACCTGTTAAATTTTTGATATCTGGAATAGTTTGAATGCATATCAGCTTTGTGAAAATATTACCTTCATTTAAGAAAACTTTGTATGTCCTTATAACTAGTACATATTAATTATCTTTTAGTTTCTAGTGTTCTTTGATAGTAAATGAGTCCTAATTTCTTCTTAAGGAAAAATACAAATACAAGTAGTTTTTTAAAAATATCACTATTAAAAAAAAAAAGATGAATACTTACCAATTTCATGCTGTATTTTTGCCAGTTTTTTTTCCTATGGTTGGTTCCTTCTGCCCATGATGCTCCAGTTTAAATTGGTAGATAGTTTAATAAACTGAACTTTTCTCCATTACACATCCTGTTGCTTCTTTGTTATATAAAACCACGAAGAAGTTTAAATTTTCACAAATGTAATAAGTCTCACTGTGTTTTATTATCTTAATTTTTTATCAGAATTCTTCATAGAATGTATGAAATTTCTTATTGAAACTCTTGATGTTTTTGTGGCATATAACTTCAGTAATAGTCACAATTTTTTTAGTAATCATTTTAGGTCTTAGAATGTTACAGATTAGCTGAGAATAACATGCTAGGAAAAAGGCCTGGCATCACCAAGCCTACAGATGCCTAGAAGGGGATTATGTAGTTTACATAAATTTTTTTAAATGATTGTGTATATAGAATAAGCATTACTAATTATAAGTGGTAGTTTACTTATACCTCAAACATTGGTTGAAAAAAAATTTCTTAACATGCCTCTTACAGGAATTTCTATTGTTTTTAAGGATATTTTGGAACTCTTGGAAAAAAGAGTGAAGTCACGATTTTCTCACCGGCAGATACACTTAATGAATTCATTTGGTTTTCCACAGTATGTAAAAATATTTAAAGAACAATTATCTCTACCTGCAGAATTTCCAGACAAGCTTTTTGCTGAGAAGTGGAATGACAGTGTTCAGGTAACTTACCGGCAAAAATGTCAGTGTACTTATGTGTCTGTTATATGATATAAAGCCATTAAAATAACAAATTAAAAAAATTTAAGTTAACACAAAGTTTCTAATGTTGACAATGATATAAAACTGCAGGAATGCAAATTATACACCTTTTTTTGTATTTTCTTCTTAGAAAAGACAGTCGAAATGTTCTATCTCATAAATTCTCTCTCTTAAAAGAACATAAGCTTTAGGACTTATGTCAGTAGTTTCATGTATTTTACAAGGTTAGCAATATACTATGTTAGTGGATCATGAGTATCCTGCGTGGATTTTTTATTCCCCTACTTCTAATATACAACTTGAGCTTTTATCTCTTTGGGTTAGGTAACAGGCAATCTGGGCTGTGGCACCTCTGGTTATATTTTCTACATTGATGAATACTATCTTGGGAGTCCCAGAAGACCTGAGGGACTTAGATATAAAGGCAGGTTCACATGTTGTTTTAAACATTTACTAAACCTTTTAGACTCTGTAAATTTACTTGCACTTATGATGAACAGTCTTGCCTTTTCACACCGTTGTTATATCAACTCAGCACCCCAGCCATCAGTTTATTCTCATGCTGACAAGAAGTTTCAGTAGGAGGGAGTATATTTGTTAGTATATGTTTAATAACATAATTGAAAAACAATATTACTGAATAAGTCCCTCATAGAATCTTTAAAATATATTGGCCTCGTGAAAGTGAAAAATAATATAGAGTCCTTGGTTCTGAAGGAATTGTGAAAAACTGATCTATAATATTAAAATGCTAATAAGTATGGATGATTAGTTCTCTGAATAGAATTACACAGTCTAGATCCACTGGCTCTAAAAAAAGGATTATTTTATGTTAAAGCAATAATGTTAGATTATGTTCTTTTTACCATAAAATCTTAAAAGCAGTACTAAATTAAAAGTGAGAATTTTGCATTTATTTTACTCCTTAATGATTCTTGTTTTGATTATAAAATACTGTCTGCTCATGTAAGCACTACTAATTTTAACACGTCATTTTTTTTAAATCATAAAAGTTCATTGAACTAAATTTAATCAGTGCACCAGAATATATGGTAAGGAGTGGAAGCTTCCTATATAGCCATACCATTTTCCGTCCTTTTACAATAGAGTAATTATTTGGTTTATGACATTGCAGAGTTCACATACATACTGAATTTGTTCCTTTTACATAAATGGCTCAAACCTTATGTATTATTCTATTTTAGTTTTTTACTGTGCTCTGATTGATAATTCCCTATTGGTTTTTCCTGAAAGAGCTATACATAATTATAGATAAAAATAGTGGAATTAATCCTTAAAATTCAGATATTGTGCCTTGATATAATTAGGTATGGATCCTCCTTTCCAATCACCTTGCCAAATTAATCTTGCCAGAAAATAAGAACTTTCAGCTAAGTCAGACAAGTTTTCTTTGATACTGTTTCTAATTATAGGATTCCATTCGATAGGAGCACTGTCTTTATAGTTGTTACTCCCATATTGTTGCCTCTTACCTGGGTCTGGAATCAGTCAGACCTGGATCTTCAGCCTCTATATCCACTTTTCAGTGCTACACAGATTTTTACCTTCTATAACTCCTGAAGTGATTGTCTTACTCTAATATGTTTTAGAGACTCAGATGTAGTCTTTCACAGTATTAAATATCTGTGCTCTCCCAGGGCTTTTATTATATCCATACTTCTTCACTTTAACTTTTTTCCTAAGGTGATTACATGGCCCAGGGTGCATTGTACCATCATTCATCTTCTGTCCTTCCTTCCCAGCTATGTTAACATTCTGAGCATTTAAAAGTGGGTATATAGATAAAAAGGATGATGGAGTATTAATGTAACTCTGGATCACATAGACAGTGGTAGCCATGTGGCTTAACCCTAATTTTTAGGACTTTTGTTGCAGACCCTGTATCCCCCAAACTTAGGGCCAGGTGGTTAGGAATGAATGTGAGTGCTATCCTGTCATCTTTTTGACAGTCTTGCAGTTCAGTTTCACAAGGTAGAACTGGCATCACTGGGGTTTGTGTCTTTTAGTTCTAACATTTTCTTCTCTATGCCTATCATCTTGTGCCACCTCCCTTTGGTATGCTAATACATGAGCTTCACTTGAAACATCTGTCAGCACCATGGCCAGAGTCCCTGTCCTGTGGAGAATGGGTGGTGACTACATTAAGGGAGCTATTCTTTCTCTCAGTGCTGGCTATCCAGCTGGTTGTTTACATTGCAGTGCAAAAGTGGTGATACAGATAACAGGTCACCTGTGGAATCTCATCTGAGAAACATCTTCAGGATAGGGTTGAACTTGAACGTTCTGCTTAATTTGAACATTTGGTTTATTCCTACCTCCAATGAGTCAAATAAGTAAGCAGAGTAAATTCTATTTTAGCCTGGCAGTATATGAGAAATTCCTGGAAAAGAGCATATGAAAGAATCATAGCTAATTCTCCTCAGAGGAAATCCCCCAAAGCTAAGTTCAAATGATTATTGATAATAGCCGTTCCCTCAAATAGTTTATAGTGTTTGAATCAAAGTGGAATTAAAAAAGTAATGAGAGAGGTTAGACAGATTTTTTTTGTTATTGTTTTGTTTGATTTAATGGCTCACATATAAATAATGTAGACTTTTTTTTTATTTTTTTATTTTTTTGTTTACCTCCAAAATGACCAATAGAATGTAGATCTTTTTTAAAGCAGATTAAATAATTTAGAAGCAAGAAGGTGATAGCTTTCAGAAAGAAGAGGAAAGTTGGAGTCAGACCACTAAAAATAAAGAGGTAAACGCAGGAAGGCAGAGTGTAGAATAACAACCCTGTGAAGCATCATGTTAAAGAAAGGCAAATACAGTGTTTTTTAAAAATGAAATTTTTGCAGAGAAAATTTCTTCCATCAATTATTTTTATCCCAGGTGATTTTCTTTACATTTCTAAAGTCCTCTGAGTTTACTGTATCAGCTTATAAGTGACTTGATAGGAGTAAAAGATTACAGAAGCTGAGATGATAGTTTGCCTATGATATTTAGTTATATATTTCTTAAATTTCTTCCATAGTGAAATTTGAAAACTGGAAAAAATAATTTTATTTCCAAAACATTTTTTATTTATATTATTAATTTGCTTTATTATTTTATGCTCATCCATATTTGACCTTGTTTATGACAATAGTCCCTGGAATCCCTGTAAAATACAAAAAGAATACTAAAAACAATATCAAGGGAGTAGGAAGTATAACTGGGATGATATCTTTACTAACAGCATGAAATTTTATTCCAGTAATTTTATTCCAGTAGACTACAACTTCTGAATTTGAGTCTCCTTAATGATGGAAAAAGTAAAGTAAAAAAGTAAAGTAGTTATAGCTCTGGAAAATATAGAAATGCTTAATTTTCTATTTTTTTTTAAATAAGGAAAGAGGATCTTTATTTCATGTAGATGATATTTGAAAAGTAATGTTAATCTTCATAAAGCCCTTCTTGGCTCTGCCACCTCTGGATTTACTCTCCTTTTATCTAATCTTTCCCTCCATGCCAAATATTCCTCACCTTCTATTCAATCCTAATTCGTTGAAGTCACTTGGCTCTTTTCGATAGGCTCACTGCTTTCTCAAAGGGCCAGATTGATCTCTGAATTTCTAAAAGCCAGGAGCTTCTTCTCAAAGTATATCTCCATTTTACAAAATTATTTACATTGTTGAATACCACTTCCCTCTTGAAATTTTCTACCCTTACTTTCTGGATCACTGCTATCTCTTGGAGACTCTTCTAGTCTTTAGTGTCTTTCTTACTTAGCTCGTCTTTTTTATACCTGCTACTTAAAAATTGATAATCCAAGATTCATTTCTTGACTACATCTCAGTCTTTATGGGCCATTCTATGCCCTATGCATCATCTTTAATTTTTTTTCCTTCTCCCTTTAAATCCTATCTTCTCCTTTCCCCTCCGCAACAGTTAATTTTCTGCATTTTATAAATGTTGAATTTGTCTTTCCACCACTCTGATAATTCAGACCTTCCTTGCCTCTTTTATGGACAATTGCAATTGTCTTGAATTAGTTTTTCCTGCCTTTATCTTTCCGTACAGCCCCTTGCCAATAACTGAAACTTAAGTATGTGACTACTCATTTTCTGTCAATATACCATGATCTTCCTTCATTCCTTATACTATATCCCTTAATTGGAGTGCCCTTCACTTAGTCTATTTACTCCTACAGGTTAAGCGTTCTTTGTAATACTTTACCTTGTTTTCCCAGGTACAGTAATTCGTTCTGTTTTGTTGCATTTTGTTCATCCCACTAATGTGACTTTATAGCTTCCCTTATTTGAGTCGAAATTTTGGGGTAGCAAGAATTATGTTTTATCATTGTATTTGTTGAATTAATGTAAAGGGATAAGAACAAAATTAGGATACTAGAAATTTGATTTTGATTTTAGTATTCTATAAGTAAGAGCAACATCTATTTAATAAAAAATTAATATCACGTAGAGTTAATAAGATACACCGCCCACTAAGGTACAGATTATGTTTAGATTTTAAATTGCATTGTTCCTCAATTTTGTTTTGATTTTTTTTTCTTTAGTGTCTCTCAGAAGATAGAAATGTGCGAGAAGTACTACAGAAGCATTTCAATGTCAGCAAAAACCTGCGGTCATTACATATGCTATTGGTTTGTATTAGTTATGATTTTCTCATTTTTTTCTTTTACCAGATAATTAAGCGTTGATGGTAATTAATTAAACCTATAGATAAATTTTGGGAGAATTGATATGTTTACTACATTGAGTGTTCCGATCTCTGAATATGGTACATATCTCTTTTTAGTTAGATACTTTGATCAGCGTTTTATAATTTTACTATTCAAATCCTGTAATTGTTTAGCATATATAACTAAGTATTTCATTTTCTTTGGAGCAACTAAATAGCATTTTTTAATTTTCGCTTTAGCATGTTCATTGTTAGAGTATCAAAATGTGATTGATTTTTTTATGTTGACCTTAAATTCTATTATTTTACTGAATTCATTCTAAACTCACCTATTCCAGGTGAGTTTAGAATAAATTTCCTGTTTAGACAATTACATTTTTCAAAAACAGAGGCAGTTTTATTTTTTCATTTCTAATCTGTATACCATTTATTTCTTTTTCATGCCTTATTCCAATGGCTAGAATTTCTAGGGCTATGTTGAATTAGAGTAATGAGACTGGACACCCTTTCTTGTTTCCAATATTCAGAGGAAAGCAATTCAGTCTTTTACCATTAAGTATGATGTTAGCTGTAGGTTTTAAATACAGGCTCATTATCAAATTGAGATAATCTCCTTGTATTTCTAACTTGCTGAGAGTTTATTATGAATGAGTATTGGATTTTATCAAATGCCTATTCTGGGTCAGTTGATATGATCATATAATTTCTCTTTAGCCTATTGATACGTTGGATCACATTGTTTTTTGCTTGTTGAATCAGCCTTGCAGGCAAGGAATAAATCCCACCTGGTCATGTTCTTTCACCCATTATATAATATCTTAAGCTTAAACAGTGTCAGGAGATTCTTAATTGTTCTGAAAATTAAAGAACTTCATTCATTAAGAGTATTTGGTATTAGACTAATATTTCCAGAAAATTATTTATGGCAAATACCTTTCAAAGAGAAAATAGTTTTGGTTTCATGAGTTTCTTGTCACTTTCAATAATAATAATATAATAATAATGATAATAATAATAATAGAAGCTACTATCTATTGACCAGCACATGAGCCATGGACTGTACTTTACCTACATTATATCTAACCTTTGCAATAATCTTATTTTTCATCCCTGGGTGTTTATATTTTTATCCTTGAAGAAATGGAGGTTCTTCCAGGTTAAATAACTTGCCCAGGGTTATACAGCTAGTAGATGGCAAAGTCGGGACTCGATCCAAGGCTCTCTGGCTTCAAACTTGTGTCCTTTACTGTGTGGTTTTGCCATTTTTATTTCCAAATTCTCTTTTCCCATTCCTGTTTTTGCTGAGGAAATTTAAGTCTTTTTATTCCTGTATACGTTCCCTTTCCCATCCACCAAAAGTTCACTGCCATTTTCAGCAACAGCTGTCTTTATCATGAAGGAATTTGGAGAGTAAGAATTTTTAGAGTAGGAATACATTTATATATCCATGCCATTATTCTGAGAAAATATCTCTGCCTCAATATTGTTAACATGAACAACCATTATTGTGCCAGTTTTCTGTCACATTTTTAATTCGTGATCATGCATTATATAATGGCTTGTTTTTTATTAGTAAGATTTCATTTTGGTGGGTTGCTTGCTCATATTCTTACATCATCCCTTTATTGATTATCTTTGTATTACTATGGAAGCTCTTTGTATGTTAGAGATTTACAGCCTCTCTGGAAACTAGGTAAATGTGAGTAAGTAAATGCTTCAATGAATTTTTTTTTCTGCCAGTCTGGTGGGTGTCAAAGGTCATAAGTCTGATGTATAGTTCTGTGACTATTAAAATTTATTGCTGCTGGCAGAATTAATATATATAGTGCTTTGGAGAGCAATCTGGGAAATTGGATAACTGGAGAAACTCAGATGCATCAGAAGACCATGTACAAATTATTGCAGACTTGTTTATAATTGCAAAAAAAAAAAAAAAAGAAATGACAGGTGTCCATCAATAGTAAATGAATAATTTTGGGTATATACAAAGGAATACAACAGAAAAAAAAATGAATAAACTAGAATTGACACCTCAAAATGGATAAAATCTAATAGATGTTCATTGAAAAGAGAGTTGTAAAAGTACAATATAGTATTTAAATAAAACTTTAAAATTAGTCTGTTTTAGCTAGGGTTGCATACATATATAATAGAAGTGTGAAGTGTAGTAATTATAAAGACACGCATGGTTGTTTTATTTGGGAAAGAGTAGAGTCTAATCGGGAGGAGACAGGAGCTTCAACTCTGAAAAGGGGAAAGTGGTCATGGATATTCAAATTATTATTCTCTGTTACCTTTTTGTTTGTTAAAAAATATTTCATAATAAAAGGAGAAAGGGAAGGAGTACTGGAGACCTGAGTCCCAACCAGTAAAAGAATGAAGGACAAGGATTGCCATATTCTTCTGTTCAACTAAGGCACCTGCACCCTGGTTAAAGTGGTGGAGGAGAGAGTTTCTAGAATAAGTATGTCCCAACTAATTGCATGGTATATACTTATACCAAGAAATTATTTATTGTTTACCTGAAATTGAAATTTAATCAGATGTTATACACTTTTATCTGCTAACCCTAAATGACAAAATTTAACTTTTATGAAAAATACATATCAAAGGAATAAAGGAATCTTCAGATACTTGAGTGGCAACCCTGGTCCGGGAGCTGTATTAGTTTTGTGGAAATTAAATGAAAAGTACATTAAAAGTGGACTGTGTTTTCAAAGATAGTTGTTTGTGGGTATAAATTTGTTGTGGGTTGTTTTTTGGTTTTGGGGTTTTTTTTTTGGTACAATTGAATATCAAATAGCTAACTTTTATCTTACACTAACCTTGGCTGATTGATGGATTGGTAAAAATGTTTACAAAAGGCATAGATCTGCCTTTTTGGCTTATATCTGGAGTTTTGATTAGTATTCTTACTTTTAGCTTTCTCCTCCTTGTCCTACTCCTTTCTTAGATGGTCTTCTGTTGAGGAATAAGTAAACAAGACAAGCAAATGAGAAGGGAAAGGGAGAGCAGCAAGAACATTTTTTATGCTTTACATGTATAGGGTTATGTGGCATATGAATTGAAACATACTATATTTTAATAGAGCTAAATTTGAGAATACCTTTCCCAATCATTGATAGTTACTCTCTCCTAAGATTAGGCTATGTGATTTAAGAAGTTTTGAAGTTTTGTAAGAAGTAATATCTCCAAAATGCTCAAATGCATGTGTAATTGTTTTTCTCAATTGCATTTCCCTAGATGCTTACTTTAAATCGAGTAACAGCATCACACCCATTTATGAGTGCCGCAGATCTCATGGAGGCAAACCAGTTGTGTAGCATGGACTCTAAAGCAAATATCGTACATGGTGAGAAACCTGCTTTATTAGTTTTTTGTTTGTTTGTTTAAAAGTGTGAATTTAGTTAATGGGATGTTTTTCAAAATTATAGTTAACATTGGCCATAGTGCTTTTATATATAGGCATAGTGCTGTGTATACAGAATACTTTATACAGCCTTTAATTCACTACTTTAAAAGGTATTATCACTGCCATTTAAAATGAATGAAACTTGATACTTCCTCTCTTGCCACATGAGAATCCAGGTAAATACTGTATTGCTGATGTTCTCATGGCACCAAGTGATACTGAAAAGCATTCATTAGAAAATCTAAAACTACATTATGTGGCTTAAATTATCTTTCTAGTGGACAACAGTACCCTAAAATAAAGTCCTCAAATTTTAAAACCCATGCCTCATCTAGTTCCCCAAACTTTTTCTGTATGCCCTCACAGGCCAGTGAGATTTTGTCCTTTAATAGCTTTTAGCCATTTGGGGTTCACTATCCCTTTTGAGAATCTGAGGAACCTTTCTCCAGGAAAAAAATGCACAAGTAATTTTGGATATAATTTCCAGGGATTTTGGGGTTTTCTGAATAAATTCTACCCAAGGGCCCAGTGTAATTTAAAGTCACATAATAATTGCAGTTTCTGATTATTGTTTACTGTGGGCTATGTGGTCAAAAAGAAACTGCTTAACATCATTCCCCCTCAAAACCATGATCTTTCACTATTTTTCTCTTTGGGCAACATTTATTTCAATCTTATGTATTATTAAGATAAAACTCATTGTTTGTCTCCCTTTTACTATAGGTCTATCAGTCTTGGAAATCTGTCTTATAATAGCAATGAAACATTTAAATGACATCTATGAAGAGGAGCCATTTAATTTTCAAATGGTCTATAATGGTAAGATGAGGCTTTGGTAGTTTCCTTCTGACTCTCCCCTGCTGCTTATTTGAGCATACTAATGTTGTCATTGCTTTCTATCCAGAGTTTCAGAAGTTTGTTCAAAGGAAAGCCCATTCTGTTTATAATTTTGAGAAACCTGTAGTCATGAAGGTAAGTTTTAGTTTGCTTTTATTTTTCTGCAGATAAGTATATTTTTTACATCCAGTTTGATTACATATCAAAGTTGTACTTCCATTAATTTTTTAAACATTAGGTATTTGTTGTAGGGATTTTTTCCAAAAGAGACAAAAAATTATCTAAAAATGAAATATTTGAATAATTCTGAGGAAGCAGCCAATTAATTTTTACAGTTTGCAGAGGTATACTGCCCTCTGCTGTCTGTTCATAGCACTTGCATCTTGTAAAGAACTTAATACCACAGTCTGTCAAACCCATCCGTATACTTTCCAACACAAGGATTGGTTTTATAAGCTTAGCAGTAAAAAGACACAAAATGCAGATTAATGCATTAAGAAACTTACAGGATAAAATCTCATTGGCCCATGAGGGCATATAGAGAAAGTTTGAGGGGTAGGTGAGGTACATGTTTTAAAACTTGAAGACTTTTATTTTAGGGTACCTTTCTCCACTAAAAAGACAATAAAGTGGACCCAGTATCAGTTTTTAAGTTTAAATTTAAATAAAATTAAAGATTGACTCCCACATTTCAAGTGCTCAATAGCCTCGTGTAGGCAGGTGCAGTTTTTGAGGATTTTATGGGAAGAAACTTTTTTAAAGGAGTGGACCCCTAAGTCCTTTGGCATCCCTTATAGGCCTTAGTAGTCAGAATTTTATTTCTTGTAAAAACAAAAAAATGGGAGTACAGAGCATTGTTGTTTCTTCAAAAAAAACCAGAAAAAGTATTTAGCATATTTGAGGTTCTTTTTTTTCCTCCTAATGTCATGAGTCTGTCTGATAGTCATAGTTTGTAAGAGTTGTGAAAATGGAAAGCTTACCTAAGCATTTAAATTCTTAGGAATAATTCATAGCTGTTCATTTATACATTTTCAATAAGGAAATATTTTGCTACCTAGAAATATTTCAGATTTTCTCAATTTCATCCAGCCCCAACACTTGTAGCCTCCAGTATTTTCTCATTTTCAGAATTGAATGGTATCTGAGCTATTTCTCTTTTTATCAGAATTTTTATGATGCATAGAAAATATATTCCAATGATGTTTTTCACAGTGAACAGTAAGAATGGAATACTCAAGAATCTGTTTCAGTGTATCACTATTTCATTCTTAGTGTGTCACGGTTTAATGGTTTCTGTTTTTTTCATATCCTAATAACATACCTAAAACAATTATCAAGGTGAGAAAAGACATAATACATGAATATTAGGGATAAGAGGAAGCAGACAGTAAAGAGTCCTATTATGGGGAAGATGGAAGAAGGGAGCTTGTTGATAGGCTGTGACAGTCTCAGCCAGTCTTAGAGGAGTAGGAGCCTGTCCCCGCTCCTCCATGCCCTTACCACCCCTGTTCAGTCATTTACTTAAAGGATCAGCTGAATAGGCCTGCTTTGCTCAGGGGTCTTTTTCTGCCTGCCTCTTTGTTACAGTTGTGTTGAACTTTTACACAGCAAAGTCTTACAGAGGTAGAGACAGTGTAAGTACAAATTTGAGTAACCTAGGTAATTATTCAAAAAGTCTTAACTAATTCTTAGGTTTTTGTAGCGACATGGAAGCCCTATGTTAAAAGTATGATTTTAGAATAAAGTTAGAAAGAAGACAATATTGTGCAGAGTGAATTAACGTTTGCCCTGTTTCCATTCAACAGTGCATGGACAGATAACTGTGAATTGACACTGTTTTACTTGGTAATCTGAAGTGTTTATGAGGTTGATAAGAGTTGTTTTTCAACCCTGTTGGTTTCTGTTATATACTGTTTCCAGCTCTCTGTTTTACAACTGAGCAAAACCATAGCTGTTCTGTGGGTTAACTTTATCACTTTCCTCCCCTATTCAACCTAAACTATTTCTTTCATCTTTCAGGCTTTTGAACACTTACAACAATTAGAATTAATAAAACCCATGGAAAGAACTTCAGGAAATTCACAGAGAGAGTACCAGCTGATGAAACTACTTTTGGATAATACTCAAATTATGAATGCTCTGCAGAAATACCCCAACTGCCCTACAGATGTTAGGCAGTGGGCAACATCTTCACTAAGCTGGTTATGAGTACAACCAATGACTTCAATTTTGGCATTTCAGGCATACTTCTCTAGAGAACTAAAAATTGTCCTTTAACAAGATGTATTATTACATTTTTTTATATTTATAAATGTTTTTGCATTTATGGGAGACTTGCATGTGTACTATCTTGGCTATGTCTTGCATTTGAAACATGAACAATTACACAATTTATAATTTCAGTAGATTTAGATTATGTTGTAAGTAGCAGTTCAAAAGAATAAAATGTGACTGTTTTAGGGATTGGGCCATATGCTTATTTAACACTTGTAAAGTGTTTATATATGGTCCATTTGAAGAGTTCATTTCAACCTAGCAGCTAGATGTTTTTAAAAATCTCAAACCAAAGCAGTAAAAAATAGTGGTAAGAATTGAGGTGTAATAAGTAATCTTTTGGTCAAGTAGGAGTGCTGTTTTTTTTTTTTTTTTCTATACACATGCAAATTTTACCCAGATCCAGATTTTCTAGTTCAGGAGACTAACCAGCTTAGCCAGAGAATGGTCCATATGGAAGAAAAAGGCCAAGGAGTTTGAAGAGTTTTCTTCTAGACTTCTCAAAATGTAGAACATCAGAATCCTTTGTAGGATTATTTTAAAATATGGATTTTTCAGACTACCTTAAGTGAAAAGGATCAGAATTTGCCTTTTTAACAAGTACAGTCATGCCCTACCTAATGACATTTTGATCAATGACAGATCACATATATGAGAGTGGTCCTATAAGATTAAAACACTATGCCTTTTTTGTGGTTAGATAAACAAATACATTTGCCATTATGTTGCAGCTGCCTACAGTATTTAATACAGTAACACATTGTACAGGCTTGTACATAGGAACAATAGGCTATACCACCTAGGTTTAAATGCACTTTATGATATTCACAAAACATGAGGAAATCACCTTAACAACACATTGCTCAGAACATATCACCATGGTTAAGTGACGTATGACTATACCGTAGATTTCTGGAAACCAGCTCCCACAAATAACAGGAAGTGTACGGCCATGTTAGCTGAATCTGTATCAAAAAGTAAATCTCTGAGGAATGTGAAAAAGTCAAATCATTGCCTTATAAATTCAGAGATCTGTGAATTAACACAAGTATATGTTTAAAATGAAATTTAATAAGCACTTAGTAACTTCATTTATTCAAGAATATTTGATCACCTGTGCAGAAGAGGTTTATAAAAGACAGAATCCCTATCCTTGTGAGGCTTATAATCAATCCATTTAACTGCCAGAGGCCCTGAAATTTAGGTACTGTTATTTATAGATCAGGACACTAACACAGTAGAGGCAGTATCCTATATCACACAGATTAAGAATGACTGACAGACACTGGAATTCAACTCAGGTTTGATTGACACCTAAGCTAGTGCTATCAAGACCTGAAGTTCAACAATGGGTTCCTTAACAAGTATTTTTTAAAGTATGCTCTAAGGCAGTGGTCCGCAACCTTTTTTGGCACCAGGAACCTCTTTCATGGTTTCATGGAAAATAATTTTTGCTTTGGGGGGGAGGCAGAGCTCAAGCAGTGATGTGAATGATGGGAACCAGCTATAAATACAGATGAAGCTTCACTCCTTCACTCGCCTGCCCTCACTCACTTCCTGCTGGGTGGCAGAGCTCTGTGTGTGGCCCATGGCCATGGACTAGTATCCGTCCACAGCCTAGGGGTTGGGGATCGCAGCTCTAAGGAACAATTTATCTAGCTTTTGGGAAATCTTGGATATAGAGTGGAATATAAGATTTCTGTGCATAAAAGTAGCTCTTCAGTAGTTACAACTTACTCTTTTGCATACAGAGCCTTCCCCCAAACACACCAGAAGAGTTAAGCCTTGTAAGTCTTCAGATCACTGTCATTTACTTATCAGCAGTCTCATTAAGGCTAAGGCTTGCAAACTGGTTCTGTGACTGTAGTCTGCTCATTTTTAAGGGATATTTTACCAAAATTCTTAAAATGGTAGCATCACTATTATTACTGGAAGCAAGGATTTTACACTTGAGCTGTAATTGTCCATTTAAAAAATGTCTGAACTACTTTAGGAAAGTATTATCGGCCTTAAAGGATAACAGCCTCATGAAATGACCTGAGGCTTGCAAGTTTGTATTAGGTCATTAAATATAAAATGTCCGATTTCTAATCAAAAGTGTAGTTTATTATATCTCAAACAAGAAACAGTACAATTAAAGTATGCACCTAAACTGTCGAAACAGTTTTGCCATCTTAACGATTTAGCTTGTTTGCTGTTGTGCCAGCAGCAAAGAAGCCTGGAGAGCGAGTGGCAATAAAATCATGAAAGGTGTTTTCCACACAGCTTGTTAAGAATTGAATATTTTTCCCTGCAAGAAGCAGTTAAAAGCCAGGAAGAAATGGTGGTCTGTTGGTGTTGATGCAAGGTCTGGTAAATATGGTGGATGACATAGAGTTTCCAAGTCCAGCCTCTGTAGTTTCAGCAGCATCGTTTCTGTGACATGTGTTTGAGTATTGTTTTGCAAGAGGATTGGCCTGTCTCTGTTGACCAATCTCGGCTTCTTAATCGCAAGCATTCTCGTTATTTCATCTAACTGGTTGCAGTAGACATCCGCTGTAATTGACCAGGTTTCATGAAGCTGTAGTAGATAATACCAGTGCTGCACCACCAGACAGACACTATTAGCTTTCTTGGATGAATATTTGGCTTTGGACTGTGTTTCAGCACTTCATCTTTATCCAGCTATTGTACCGAACACTTGATGATTGTCAAAAAGAACCCACTTTTCATCACACGTAACAATACAGTGTAGAAATGGTTTGCCTTTATGTCTTGACAGCAAAAGAAAATCAAGCTTTAAGATGATTTCTGACGCTCAATTCATGTGGAACCCATCTATCCAGCTCCTTTACCTTACTCTTTTGTTTCAAATCGTCCAATATTGTTGGAATCTTAACGTCAAACCTTGCTGCTAATTCACACATAGGTTGAGATGGATTCATTTCCACTATAGTTTTCAGCTCATCATTATCCACCTTGGTTTCAGGTCGCCCATGTAGCTCATTTTCAATATTAAAATCACCAGAATGAGACTTCTCAGAACATCAGCCTACTGTGTGTTCATTAGCCACATCCTTCCCAAACACTGTTGATATTTTGAGCTGTCTGAACTGCATTGGTTCCACAAGGGAACTCATATTCGAAGTAACACAAATTTTTGACTTATCCATGGTTTCACAAAAATTGCTCTTAAAAAAATTTGAAAGATAATCACAAGTCAAAATGTGCGTTTGAAAGACTCAAGATTTGCCTTCACAATAAACATAAAAGTGTCAAAGTGAAATGTAAGAGATATCAATTGTCAAAGTTAGTACTTAAGAAAATAGGACATTTCATACTTAACCTAATACTAGTTTAAGATGCTACTCAAAAGCTGAGAGCCCTCTTCTGCCTCCCTGGCTACGTAAGAGCTGTGGAAGGTCTATCAACAACCAGGTGTATAGATTTTAAAACAAGTAGCAAGGTAGGTTTTTACTTCCAGTGCTTGGCGTAAATCGGTAATAGTTATAAAGCAAATTGGAAAAATAGGTTAGCAAGTCGTACAAGTGAAATATACACCTACAATCCCAACGCATTTTTGTTGGGAAGAGAGGTGTTGATATTTGCCTTTCCATATTTCCTAATACAAAAATGCTAAAATGTATTTGCAAAGTTTTTGAACTAACTTCATCTCTTACTGCTTTATCAATAAAATACAAAACCTAATCTGAAAATCCCTAGGGAAAAAACGTTCAAGAATAACATAAATTATCAAGCATGGCTTAAAGATATTTTCTTCATTAGAGGAGGAAAAACAGAAACACATGAACTCCCCTAGTTTATCAGACTGAAAAGCCAGTGAAGAGGAATATTACATCAGTGCAATTTTACTCCTGTGTTTCCTCTAAGTGGTCCACCAGAAACAAATCTTGTTAAAAAAAGACCTCTCTGATTCACATGCATGTGAATGGCTCTGGGGAATTAAAATGGTCTAAACTTTACCATAATGCTACATATGTTGAAAACATAGTATCTGTTAACTTTCTAAAGAATCAGTGCTTTGTGAAAAACACTGTAGAAAACAATTCAGTCTTTCTGTAGAGATTCCATGCAGATTCCATCATAGTTTGCATTTTCATTTGGTTTAGAAAGCAATGCAGGTTCTTTCAAACCTCCCCAACTGCTGCTCCTTTCTTCATCTTTACCCTAAACTGAGAATCCACTGGTGTATAGTGTCTCACAACGCCAACAAGCCTCTGGCTTACTAATATTGGCAGTAACAATATATGTGTTTGGGTGGGAATATAATCTGCTCAGACAACAAAGGGAGGAAATGCCATAATGGACAGATCTTTCTTTCAGCACTATCCCCATTCTTCCAAATCTCAAGGTATAAGCCTCACTACAAACTGCAAAGCTACTATTCCCCTCTTTAAGAAGAACATATAGCTAAAGAAAAACTGCATATGCAAATAATACCATATTCATTTTTTTATTTAACTTGGGGATGGAATGGGGATAGCATACATTTTATTTATACAATATTTAACAATCACTTATCCAAGGTGGGGTTTTATGGGGATTTTTTTAGCTTTCTGTTAAATACTTGCACAAAAAATAGCAAGTATGATTTGACAGTAGTACAACAACCTGTGCCCAAAACACTGACAAGAAATACAGAGTAAAGCTAAAATAATTGCTTACCAATACTTTGAGAGGTAACAAATAGGATATGGTTGAGACTGCATAAAAAATGTACTGCTGGTTGAATATCTGAGGTAAATGATGTTCAGTCAAGATGCTACTTGTATCATTTTGCCCATAAATCAGTTAATTTTATGCACATCATACCAAATGTTCCTAAAAGTAATTTTTCAAAAAAAGTAAAAAAGAGAAAACTGGAAAGTATCTATGATGACGCATTAAAAAAAAGCTAACCAGTTGATTCCACTAAACTATCATTTGGCCAGGGTTTTTCCCTACCACCTACATTTTACTTGGGGTGAGGAAATAGGGCAGAAGAAATTCAAAAGTGTTGTGGGGTTTTTTTGTTTTTTTCCTGATTGTAGTTTCAAAATATCACCATGAAAGACAGTGCAAGTTCATGGGACCAACAATTGTGAGGCACAGTCTCTGTTCTGGAATTCACAAGGTTACCTGTAATAAACATTCAAACAAGAGTCACACATCACATGCTAAAAAAACCTAGCATCTAAAATACATAAAAGAGCTGTGCAGGGCATAGATTTTGAATAAAGCCAAACACTGGTCAATCCATCAGTCCTATGGCAGTTGATCATAAAGCATTCCTTACAAGGAGATCTGGGCAAGGTGAAGAGTATAAGTTAGAGCAGCAGTTGTGATGGGCATCAGAAAGGCAAAATACAAGATGAATCATGAAGAGCACCATACACATGAGGAAAAAGTTACTAGGGGTCTCAGTTTGCCCCAAAACAAATAACCATTTTTCTCATCCTTTGATCTTTCTTTTTGCCAGTATCTCTAGCTCAAGCTTTTTGTTAACTTGCCCACTCTGCACTGACTGTAAACCAAACACTAAATACCCTGCAAAAGAGTTTTAACAAGACTAGGTATCAGGACAGGTAGTCACTGGAACATTCTTATTTTACTGCCTATAAAAAGTTTTTCTATTAATACGGTTTTCAAAAGGATACAAGTTTTAAAATTGGTTAGCTATAGTTAAGTACAATACCCAGCATTTCTAGAAATTTTTCCTAACTTGTAAAGAAAGCATTTTATATTGTGAATAATTGGTTTTATAAAATTTATCTCTAGTGCTCACATAAGCCAAACATTCATCATATCCCTTGTTTCTTTTTTTTTTTTTAACTTTTAAAAAGAGTTAAATGTTTACAACAGGTAGAAATTCATCTTCAAGAGATTAACGATTTTCTTGTATGCACATTCTCAGTATTTTCCCTTCTTGATTAGTTTCAAAATGGAAGCAAAACCGAATCAAGAAACTGAGAGGCCAAGTACTTAATGAAATAAAGAGGTGAACTCAACATTGAAATGGGAATTCTTAGGAATACAATGAGACCTTGGGTACATATGTGCCCAAGACCACAAACAATTCTTTATGGTGTGTGGCACACAGACAAGAATGCTATTACTCTTCTTTCCCTCCCTGCTTAGAGTCTGTTGACCTATGTATTATTTATAAATAACAATTATTCCCAGAGATTAGGTGCATGTTAATGTAAAGTGTAGTGTACTGTGTGGTTAAATAACACATTCACAGTGAGCTCCTGATAGTGACATGTAAAAAGTTCTTTTATAACATTAATGTATGGATTTTAAAATGACCTGACAAAAGTACACAGCATAATACTGGCTGTTGGTTAGTAATCTGGAAATTCAGGAAATTAATGTCTTACTTTGGCCTGTATAAATTTGAGGAAGAATCCAATTATAATTCTGTTGCTTTGAAAAGCACTTTGGCACCTACCTACCATCAGTTCCATTTTCTTAGCAAGGATAAGGCATAAACTATCCTAATTTACTATCAGAGTTAGTTGTGAAAGAAATTTGGGGGAGGAGGTTAGGCTATGTTACGTATATCAACATTGGTTACCTCTAAATGTCATTGCATATTTTAAGTTATAAGTTTAACTTGTTATCCCTGATTTGTTTCAAAGCAGTAACATCTGAAATCTGTGCTTAAAGTTTAATATCTCTATCCTAAGATAATTCCTTATATTCACAGACATCAAATATTACTCTGCCAAGATGGCACCAAGCAGAAGTATAGTGATAAAGTTACAAGTCTCCAAGCAGAGTGAGGAATTCTGGGTAATGACACTTCCTGAGGTGATCCTAAACAGTGATAAAGAATGTCCCACACAGTTAGGTGAAAAGAAATACACTACAAATTTACATATGTAAATAGGAAAAAAATCTATTTTAAAAGATAAAATGAAGAGCTTTCCAGTGTCACAGCTCATTTAAAAAAATTTAAATCATGCTTTAAGTTTTCAAATATTCCCCAAACACAGCACACCTAAAAAAAAAAATACTTATGTAAGTATGCAATATTTTGGGAACTAGATATAAGATGGAGCTTTAAAACATGGGAAGAGGGGAAAATGATACCATCTTTTCATTTCAAAAAACAGCACTTTTTTCCCTAAATTACAAGCCAGCACAAGAAAAGCTAAAACACTGCTTTACGAATGGCCACTTACTGTTGGCACTAAGCATAGCTTACCTTTTTTTCTTTAAATAACACAGTGAATTTCTTACAAAACATGGATCGATTTATTATTCAAATTTTGTTAGTGTTTTCAATTTTATAATTTAGCAACCGTGGAACTGAGGTATACCTTGTTGAGGGAGGTTAAAGTAATGCTTGGAAGCCTCTTTACTGTACCCCACTTTCATGACTTTGTTTATGTACACAGAACAGCAGCACACTAAACATTCACAAGCTGTGTCATATTGGCATTACAATAGTCATTTATAGAAACAACAACAGCAAATGCAATAAAAACAAGTTACCCTTTTTAAAATCTGAAATGAAAAGTTTTGATTTAAAAAAAAATAGCAGTAGTTCATTTAAGGAATTAGTGTCTTCTGACAGACATTAAGAAATCTGATGTCAGTTTTCAAACACTCCATTAGCCAGGTCCAAAAGATCCTCGATTTGGAGAGGGCCACATTCTTCATGTATACTTTTTCAAAAGTTTCTTTATAAAGTTTGCAACTTTTCTCTTAGTCTCATGTCCTTCACATCTGTGCTGTAGGCAATGCAGTAAGTCTCCCAGAGCCACATTTTTCAACAAAGGTCCTCTTTCTTATGTTTCCAGGAGACATCCTACTCATTTCACACAGGAAAAAAAACTGTAAGCAGTTTCGTTAGCTTAGCAGCTCCAGTTCAGAGTCCCATTTCTTAGTGTGTACAGATGGTGCAACCATCATAGACTAGATTCTTTGGGAGGAAAGTCAACATTTGTCACCATTGTGACCACTGTTACAATGTCCTCTGTGGTAATGATATTTGTTAGTCTTTGCATCTGGGTAATTCTTTCACCTACGCATCCAGCTGATAACCTGGCTTCTGCATCGTGATCCCAACATTCTTCTATCGTTTCACAGAGCATTGCCATTCCCTAAAATGAAAAAAACATAGTCAAATACCATAGCAATTTTTGTTTTCTTTTAGGAAACAATACAATTTTCATAAAGAAATTGCTATTTTTGTGGTTCAGAGAAGTTTCAAGATTAGCCAACTCTGATATTGTTTGTCAACATTCACTTTTATTTAGTATGTGCAGGACCATGAGGAAAAGCACCAAGAGAAACCATTTATTTTTAACATTAGAGACTGCCATATCAGGAATTTTTGTTTGAATTACAAAAAATTCCCTATCCATTGTTCATAAACCAGGTCATTTCAATGCTAATAACCCTTGTGTTAGGCTCAAAATCAGGGGGTGGGGGGGCTATGAATTTTTTTTATTTTCTCAGTTAATATCATCATTTCTATCTTGCAATTAAATAGCAGATTAGAAGGCCATCTTCAAGGATTCCCTACCTGGCTTTATCCATGTTTCTAGTTATCTTTAGACCAAAAGGTTCAGAGCAATACTATTTTATCCTCTGCCTAGTCTCTAGTTTTAAAGCATTCTCAGGGATTTGAAAGTCTAAGCCCAAATCAAAAGGCCAAAACAAACTCCCATGGAGAGGAGAAAACCTGGTGCTCAATAAACCTTTAAAAATGGTATCATATTGGAAGGTGATGATCAGCAAAGATACTCAACTACCCACAGGCTCAGAATCAGGCATTCCTATTACCTGGGAAGCTTTCTAAATAGAAGACATACTCATCAGCTCAGGACCACTGAGACAAGAGCCTTCTAAAGCTCTATGACGGGCATCCTCAAACAACGGCTCACAGGCCACATGTGGGTGTTTTTGCCCATTTGTTTTTTTACTTCAAAATAAGATATGTGCAGTGTGCATAGGAATTTGTTCATAGTTTTTTTAAACTATAGTCTGACCCTCCAATGGTCTGAGGGACAGTGAACTGGCCCCGTTTAAAAATTTTGAGGACCCTTGCCATAGTCTCTCTCAGAGGTATACAGGCATAGCTCTAATTCTGCCTCTAGAATTCTAGTACAGATTATACTGTGTACATATATGCCCTCCCTAGAAAATCCTCCCAGAAGAAAGAAATGTGCAGAAATAAGTCACCTGAAAAGTTTTATTGGAATTTCAAATGAAAAGCTAACTGTGACTTACAGCATGTTTCTGCCAGTAATCTCTTAAAACAGGCCTCTTTTTTTTATGCACAACAACTTCCTGCATGTCTTCAAGAGATGGATGCTGGCCAATTTCCTCCTCAAATGGCAACATGTACTCATCTACAGGTCCTGAAATGTAAAAAAAAAGAAGAAAATCATTTTAATTAAAATCTTTCTGACTTCCAAACTGGTACAGATTTTCTAAAATAATACTCTTATCACCTTTTTCCAACTGTTTATATGCTATAAGGACAAGAGAGAAACAGACTCTCAACTGTACTTACACCACCATGTGACCAAAGTCTCATTTACAGGAAAATGAAAAGGTCTGTGATATAACCCCATTAAGGTTTGTGTGAGGAGCTTTCTTATCTACTGTATGAAGACTGCCTATGTCCATCTGCCCACAGAATATAGGAACAATCGATATTTGCAAATCAAGCATTTGCAAATTACCCCCTTTAAAAGGTACCCAACTCCTTGCAATTCAGATCAGAATATTTACAGGGGTGTTTCCATCCCTGGAGACTCTTGGTTTAATCTGTTATGTCTTTATTCTTTGGCATGCCCAAACCTCCTACATGCCCCACATGAGGAATTATCTGAGTTACCTCTTCTCTGCCCTCCCTCACAATAGCTGCCAAAAGTACATGTTAATTTTTTTTTAAATCACAAACACACACTCTCCAACCAGGGTTTTCAACAACTCAGAATAAGCCTTCACAGACAACCAAGATTTATTCAATAATATAAATAATTCTGTTTTTCTTAGGCCTACTCAGATAAATAGAAAAATGCATTTAGGAGTTAATAATAACTAATATTCAATGAGTACCTGTCCCAATTAGGAACTTTACATGTATTATATACTTCATGGGGTGAATATGGCATTAACTCTAGTTTACAGATAAATAGCTCAGAAAAGTTACATAATTTGCACAAGAGCATATAACTGTTAAGTGGTAGAGTTGGAATGTGAATCAATCTTTCTGAATCATTCTTAAGTCTGATTTCAATCACTGTCTTGTCTGCACTTGACAGAAACTACTGAGCAATTTCAGTGACCAGATGTGTGCTTCCATAGACATAAACCTTGTGTAAGTTCTTAAAAATGCACCGAATGCTCCTGGATAAAATACGATGAATCGTGAAGCGGTCATCTAACGTAATGCTCTTTAAATGTAAGAATGCTTGCTGACCAGACAGGGGCCTCTGCATGAGCACTTCCAGTGACAGAGTACCAACATTCCAAGGTGTCTATTCAAACTCTTATGTGGTACACAGGTCAGCAGCGTTGGTACTGACTGGCAGCTTGTAAGAAATGTAGAATCTCAGGCCTCAACCTAGATCTACTTGAGTCAGAATCTGAATTTTAATAAGATTCTCTAGAGTTTGGCATGCTTGTTAAAATTGAGAATCAATAAATTTAACCAACTGGCCATCAACAAATTTGAAAACACCCACTTCAGTAATGTTCACATTATTCCCTCTGCCCCAATTTCTGACTTAAGAGTCAGAAATGCCTAACTCTGCAATTAATTCTTAACACATACAAAGCATTTAAGAAAAGTCAGCATTTATCCCTTTCTTTTTCCAAAAACATTTCCCTGGTAACACCTCTTTCCCACAAACAGCAATTTCTTCTCTAAACTCCCATAACACACCCTTACATTTCTCAGGTATTGCATTAATCCAAAAACATTTATTGAATACCTATGTACTGGGCAGTGATCAAGATTAACTCATACTTACTTATTCTAGAGTTCATTATCCAGGATGTATTTTATCACCTTAAATAAAATGCCTATTTCTTGAGAACAGGGCCTGTGTGTCCCCCATAACGCCTGATCCAATGTTTTGCGATGCAGAATTCATATTACAGGTTCTTACAAAATACATGTTCCTATAACATCTATCATCTGACCTACTTCTGCTTCCATAAATGCACATAATAAATGCAATTCCTCTTCCACCTTGAGCAAAATACCTGAACAGGTTATTTTTCTTCCTATAGACTTCTAAGCTAAAATTATTCCCAAACTGCTTCAACCTTTTATAAGTTTGGGATCGACTCCCAAGCCAAATCCCCAATCCTAGAAGAATGGATGGCTGCCCATTTCTGAGTACTCTACTAAATTCCCTCTAAAAATACAGTACCCAAATCGAATTTCATACTCCAGAGGCAGTCTGCTCTACACTGAGAGCCTGTTATAGTACTAAGAAAAATAAAATATTCTTAATAACATAGGTTAAGTTGGTTAAATCTTTTTAAATATTCAAAATTATTTCTATGGTCTTTGACAATCACAGGAAGTTTTTAGACAATTACAAATTAAAAAACCAGATCAAGCTCATTTACATTTGCTTAGGAGTTTAGCAGTCAGCAAGTTTGTCTTACATTACTCAAAAAAAGTGCTGCAACATAAATAAAGAGAGAGTAGAGACCTTAGGAAGGAACACTAAAGACATAGTGCCTGGAACACTGGTTTTGTCACACTAGGAATACCGTCTTCAGGTTTACTCCAATAAATAAATAAAAAGCAAATATTTACAAGACTTGAACAAGGACTTCAAGAACAAGAACAAAGAATAGCAGCCCTTTAGCACCAAGGTGCATTACACCGAGGTGCTAAAGGTGCCAGGGACTGTGACTAATGTTCACAATGATGTCTATAATCAGGTCAAAGCTTTAAGGAGGTAGACTTTAACCTGCAGTACATGCAAACAATGCTCACAGTTCTGTGTCGAAGAGGACAGAATGTAAATTTAATCTGGTTAGTCAGGTGTATGCTGGCATTACTTGAGTGCTGAAAAGACTCAGCCTGAGTGTCCTGGAAGGCAAAGTCCCTCCCAATCTACATGCATCTCCTCTCACCACAAGAGTCGACTTTAGAACCTGGGGGGCAAGACCCACATGACCTAACCAAACAGCAGCCCCTCCCTACATGTGGATCAGTTTCAAATCTAGATTTCACCATTTAATGGCTTGGGGCTAAAAGAAGCAAGCTACTTAGTTTCTCTGAGTCTCAATTTCCTCATGTTAAACTGAGATAATAACTACCTCCTGAGCTGAATCAGAAAATAAACTAAGGTATGTGAAGTATCCAGAAAAACATTTGGCAATGGTAAAGGATCAATACATATCAGTTCCTTTCTTCTCTGGCCCCTCCTTCTACTCCCCTGCCTCCTGAAGTCTCTACCACCTCCTGGAGTCCATTTAAAAAAATTTATACTTTAAGATATTACCTTTGAGTGTAATCATCCCTTTTCATTACATGTGCAGTAGGCATATATATCTTTAAAATATTTTTTCCCTTACCATCTGCAGCAGTACAGCGAGAAGCCAGTTCCCACAGGACTAATCCCATGGCGTACATATCTATCCTCAAAAATGCATCCCTTTGGAAGTTTATAGCACCCTCTAATACCTCTGGAGCCATATACCTCCGGGTACCAACCTGAAAAAGATGTTGAAAGCAAACAGTACTCATTCATTAACTTTATGAACTAACATTTTATGATTTTGTAAAAAGACTCAAAACCAAATGTGGTCTATTATCAGGGTAAGGCAACTAAATTATGACCACAAGACTATAATGTATATATAGTAAGATCCTTCCTGATACTTAAAAAAATATGTCAACAGACACTATCCTGGTACAGGCTTAAGTTTAGGGTTTTTTCCCCTTTCCCGAAGCAATCCTAACAAACTACAATGACTGCTAGCTGGGAGAAGGAACAGAAAAGAATGCTGCATATACTTTTCTACTCTACCTTTGCAAATTGTTTGAAATGTATTTAAAAAAAAAAAAAAACTTTTTGAGGTCTCTTTATCTGAATTAAAAAATGAATAAACACAAAATGTCATAGAAAGAATTAGCCACATAAAAGATGGACAGACTTTTTTAAAAGTTCTATTTGCACAAAATCTATGTATTTATTTATTCATGAATTCTTCTGCCTTAGAGTCCTTTATTTATATCTGTCCCCAACAATTTGGTATTTCTCAGTACTGTAACTATGGTTACTAAATTAGTAGAGCTAGCTTTGGTTGGTATTTGACAACATCCATGTATGAATGCTTAAAAAATGTTTGTGAGATAGATGGGTAGATCACAAATACACTTCAGTTATAACAGATCTAGAGAGCAGTCTAGATACTGGTATTTCTATAAAACTCCATCCTTAGGTGACTGTGATCTCTAGAGACAAGTTGGGCAATTATATACAAATATCATATAAAAGATGTTTGAAAAAATAAGGACAGATCACTAAGACTAAAGTTCAAGATTTTAATTCATTTAATAAGGAGAGTACTTCAAAGAAAGAAAAAATGCAGCTTTTTTTCCTACTCTGAATAATTATTTTAATGGTACTATAAATATTTTCCAAAAGCCTACTTTTCTCTTAAAGATAAATGTATGCCATCCAATCAATGTACCTCTTTTATTAATGAGATTATAGTTTATCTACTATTTTAGTGTAAAATGTCTTCTCTTTTATATCTGTTCTTTCTTTGCAATACATAAAATGTACAATTTCTTCCAAATATTTTTGAAATTTTCTAGTCTATGAAATCTAAAGTCAAGGAGCAACTACTATACTGTAAGCAATTAGTTATTTTTACCTCATTATATGGAACTCAATCATGAGGGAGTTAAAAGATGATACAAATGAGCCCCCAATTTTTTTTCTCAAAAAAATAAGGGAGGGGTGCTTATAGGTACCAAAGAATGAAAGTATTCCCCAAATTTGGTCTTAGACAGTCAATCATTCAATTAGCTCAGAAGTGTGTCTGACGCTTCCTACACCATCTCCATCTTGGTAATGTTCTCCTCCAAACTGCCTCCATTCCCATACATTATACAATTGGGTCAAGTTTTCTAGAATGATATGACTGCTGGCCATTACCCTAAACTAAACTTTTAAATTGCTAGTCAATATTGCCAAAATTGATTGTTTAAAACTGTGTTCTGTAATATCAATAAGATATGCTGGGGAAAAGAAAGTTAAAAATTAGCTGACCTAGTAAGTAATTCACATGATTTGAAAGATGAAGACATGATAATGCCAAATCCTGAATCCTTTGGCTTTGCAGAAAATGTCACCTTTCAAATCAAACTGGTTTTCTTGATTAGAAAGTAATCTTGTGGGAGTAAGAACACTTTTCCTTGCCTCACAGTTATTGAAAATAAAATGTATGGATAATGTTCTTATCCCCTTTGGCCTTCCTTAAAGGTTCCTCACTGCTGACACCTCTTTGTGCAGACCTGAGCCAGAGTTAGACACCTTGCTCAATGGTTTACAAGTGCTCTGAACTCTGGAGAGAATTCAGAAAAAGCCATTAAGTTGACGAAAGAATTAATGAAGCAATAAAGAGCAAGAAACTATATAATTGTGTGGAAAATGGGCAGGGAAATCTTAATACACAGTAGCAAGAATAGCAACAGGTATCCTTCCATTCCTCTTAAGATGGTGAAAGAATTAACAAATTAAAACTACCAAGTTAATACTAAGAACTTCCTAAGAATTTAAAAGCTGTTGGATTCTTCTTTGATCAGTGTTTTAAAAAGAATGCTATGACATCTAATGGTTGTTTTATGAAGTGCTTGAACTAAACCACCTGAGTCTTCTACTACCATATGAAAATCTTTCTCAGAAAATTTAACATAACTCTTTATTAGTAACTGATTTAATCACCATAACAATTTTAGACCAATTCAACTCTGACATACCATTTTAAGAAAACATGGGACAAGCTTATTATTTCTTACATTTTATAATTATCATCCTTACCTGTCCGTGGGTATCACCTGCAGACTTGCCAGCCTCAAATTTTAACGCCAACCCAAAGTCAGCAATGCAAGCTGTCAGATTGTTTTTCAACAGTACATTTTTACTTTTGATGTCCCTTGCAAACAGAAAAAGAAAATATTTAAACTATGTTTAAACAAGTTATCTTTTAAAAGTTTTTATTAAAAGTGGGAAAGAGGAAGAATATATGCCATAAAAGAATAGTTATTTAAAAATGTGAAATGCTGAAAAAAGGGGGAGGAGAAAAAGCTCAAGCAGAGCCCCATGTACCCTGAAGCCCAAGAGAACAGTGACAAACTCCTATTGATAACATGGACAATAAGAAGGAATCCTCTCCATAAAGCAGTTTTATAAAGAACTGTCATTCCAAAAATACATGTTTATCTATGTCACTCCCACCTACCAATCATAAAATTGCTGTTTTTTAAGATAATATTTCAGATTTTATAGCTACAAACTCCCATAAAAACCAAAATTAAAAAGCCAAAGTAAAAGAATTTTCAAAAAATTGCTGAACTGGAGCCTTTTGCCTATTAGTACAGACATACATTTTACAATGGTCCCTTATTGTAGTTCTTATATTCTTCCACTTGGTTGTACAAAAGCATTTTTAGCAATGTGTAACAAATAAGAACATCTTACCATAAGTATATTCTGCTCTACCTAGATCCTGGTGTTCTAAAACGGGTAATTTTTAAGGCAATAAGACATCTTCCTCTACACACATGTCTCAACTGGTTCATCTTAGGGATTACTGTACCCTAGCTAAATACACCTAAGCCTTGACCAATGGTGGGGGGCAAGGGAAAATCTGGCAAAAGGCATGTAGGAAGGTGAGAAGAAAGGGGGGCTGTTTCTGAGGTAGTTGTTTGAAGTTTGCAAAATCAGAATCTACATTAGAAGTGGATTTATAGCAACACCTCTTAGCAACCTAAAACACCACCTAGTGGCACTCAACTAAGTATTTGTTCAATGAATTAATTAATGCTCATTTTAAAAACAACAATCTTTAAATTGTATACAGCATGACAAATTGAATCCCATGTTCAAAGAAATTAAATACATGGCAAACTGCATCTCTTGTTTAAGGAACAAACGTTTTTCCTTTTGAGGGTGTAACAGTTCTTGGGTCTAAGTACTGAATAATTGTTTAAATGATGCCTCCCTATACCTTAGTTCAGGGTAAAAGATCATATGGTCATTCAAAAAATAAGCAAAAAAGATATTATTATCAGCATGCTCCAACCAACTGAGCCAACCGGCCACTTGCGGAAAGATATTAAAATTCTCTCCTTAATTACATCTCCTTGTAACTATTTATAATAATCTTTAAATCATGTTTTGAAGTAAAACAAATTTTTCTTTTTCCTTTGAGATGGAGAAAACACACTTAGTTTTACTTTAAAGATAACTATAAATAACTACCAAGGGGTGTAATTAAGGACTTTCAGAAATTAAACAAATTAAAAATTACATAAGTAAATAACTACTTTTACTAATGACGTTAAAAAATACATCATCCAAAATACTTCCTGGCCAATCTCAAAGCTAATTTAAAAAACAAATGAAAATCAACTTCCTCATAGAGCATGACTGTATAAGTACAGAAAAAATAAATTTTATCCAGGGGGTTAAAACTCAATTATTTGGGAAAACAAGTATAAATTTAGCTCTACCTGTGAGATATGGCAGGTTTGTGGCCATCTTTTAGGCCAGGTATATCCTCATGTAAATATGCCAATCCTCTAGCCATGGTTTCTGCAATATGACACAATTCATTCCAAGAGACCACATTAGCCTTAAGAAAATCTGACAAAGAACCCTAAAGAGAGAGAAAAAAAAAAAGAAAGAAACTTATGCTGTTGACAAAAGCCATATCTACAAGGAGACTTCTGTTTACCTATAAGAGGTTATGGAAGGCAACGTATCTTTCCTTTTAAGTGCATATTAATATCCAAGAAGCAATCTTTCTAGAAGGGTTCAAATTTCCTTCTAGTTCACATTAATAAATATTTGACCAGAAAAAAATACCAATGCTTTTTAAAGGTTTATTATAAGAATAGTCAATTTCCTTTAATTTAGAAGACAAAATTAGAAGGAAAAAAAAAAGACCAGTTGAAAATCTAAATTTCTAGAAAATATTCCAAAAGTTAAAATATACCGACTATAGAGATGTTATATCACAGGAGTAGGAGAACACACAATTGCAACATATAAACAACAATATAAAGAATCTTTCTCTAGATATTACTGTCATCTTTTTAGTCAAGAATTAAGAGACATAAAAAAGCCACTTATATTTCATAATGATGCAACCAATTAGCAAAAACATAACATCCTACTTCATTAGTGGTACTTTCATACAATTAGGTTGGTGCAAAAGTAATTGCAGTTTTAGCATTATTGAAACTTGTCATTTGATATTGGAGTGCATCCTTAAATAAATATGTTTATTTTACACATCATTTTAATGTGCATTTCTCGCTTTATGTTCTTTTTGCTAATGACTTATTACTGGCTGTTTATTTTATATTTATTTTAGACTATGGAAATGATGTTAGACAAAAAGCAAATTTGAGTGATCTTCTCATTCAAGTTCAAAATGGGATGGGTTGTAAAAGCAGCAGGGAGAACTCACAACATCAACAACGCATTTGGCCCAGGAAAGAAATGCTAATGAACATACAGTAGCAGTTCAAAAGGTTTTGCAACTGAGAGGAGAGCCCTGAAGATAAGGAGAGCAGTGGCCGGCCATAGGAAGTTGAGAACGACCAGCTGAGAGCTATCTTGAATGCTGATCCTCTTACAACTACAAGAGAAGGTGACCAAGAACTCACCATGGACCATTCTGTGGTCATTCAGCATTTGAAGCAAATTGGAAAGGTTTTAAGCTTGATAAGTGGGTACCTCGGGAGCTGACTGAAAATCAAAAATATCGTCATTTTGAAGTGTCATCTTGTCTTATTGTATGCAACAACGAACCATTTCTTGATGGGATTGTGACGTGCAACGAAAAGTGGATTTTGTACAACAATTGACAACAACCAGCTCAGTGGTTGGACTGAGAAGCGGCTCCAAAGCATTTGCCAAAGCCAAACTTGCACCAAAAAAAAAGGTCACACAGTCCCTGTTTGGTGGTCTGCTGCTGGGGTCTGATCCACTACAGCTTTCTGAATCCCAGTAAAATCATTACATCTGAGAAGTATGCTCAGCAAATCAATGAGATGCATGGAAAACTGCACCGCCTGCAGCTGGCAGTGGTCAACAGAAGGGGCCCAATTCTTCTCCACAACAATGCCCAACCTCATGTCGCACAACAAATGCCTCAAAAGTTGAATGCATTGGGCTACAAAGTTTTGCCTCATCTGCCATATTCACCTGACCTCTCGCCAACCAACTACCACTTCTTCAAGCATCTCAACAACTTTTTGCAGGGAAAACTCTTCCAGGACCAGCAGGATGCAGAAAATGCTTACCAGAGTTCCTCGAATCCCGAAGCACAGATTTTTATGCTACAGGAGTAAACAAACTTATTTCTTGTTGGCAAAAATGTGTTGATTGTAATGGGTCCTGTTTTGATTAATAAAGATGTGTTTGAGCCTAGTTTTAATGACTTAAAATTCTCAGCCCAAACCTACAATTATTTTGCACCAATCTATTAACTCTGAAAGTAGAAAAATTGAGCAAAAATAGCAAATATGTTTTGGTGATAATTACTGACAGATCAAAGAGCAGATAAATTTCCTGATTGGTTCTGTCACTAGGCAGATTGATTAAAGAGTTGAAGACATAAAAAACAGTTCATGTAATCAAAATGGATTGTAAATCCTAAATGAAAATTATTAAGCACTGTCTATACTAAAATAAGTATTTGAAAGAGAGGTAATTACAGCACGAGAAGTCAGAGACAAAAGACTGGTATTATATGAGCAGAGAGTTAGTTAAATAGTTACCATCTTTGCTCTTTTATTAAAATAAATTATTTTTAAAGACAGATTTTTACTTAGGAGTGATTTCTATTTTCAGGTTAAATATTGATCAACTATATAATAATATACTAACTCCAGAAGAATAAGTATGAGAGATTTATAGCCAACATTAGGTAGGCAGGCCAACTCTGACTTTACTAAATTAAAATTTTAAGTGGTTTTACCTTTTCATGAAATGCTGTTATTAGCCAAAGATCCACATCCACACTGGTGCCTCGTTTTTCTGCACCAATGAACTGTAATATGTTCTCATGCTTCATTCCAGGCAAACTATAGACTTCATACTCATTTTGCCATGACTGTTTGTCCTAGAGTTAGAAAGGAAGCATATAGTAAGAATACATAGAATAAAGGCAAATAAACCATGTGTAAGAGATTGCTCAAAAAGGTTCTAAAGCAAACAAAAAAATAAAGTTAAGTATTAAAAGATTCTTTGGTTTTATTCTGTTTTTTAATTAGAGAAAGCTCTAATAATAGGTAATAGTTCCATACTAAACACCTGCCCTGTCTCATTCCCTCAAAACACACTTTTCTGTGTTTCCAGTTCATAAACACAAGAGGTGATCAGAAATGCTGAGCTTCTCTACCTTACAATGGCAACACATTCTACTTACAAATTATTCCAAGTATTACACCGTAATTTCATCATGGTGTGAAGTTACTTGTGTTACTATTCAGAATAATCTCCCTGAAAGATGATATTCAGGTAGAATGACTTCCTCTAAGTAGAAAACATTTTTTTCCCAAAGACTAACATAATATCATTCTTAAAAATGTTTAGCATATCCTGCAAAGTCAACAAGAGAACAAGGGCATAAACATGCAATACAATAATTAAAAATATCACATACTCATTTGTGCCTGCCTGTAATCTACATCTACTACATATTTACTTACAAAAAATTAGTTTCTTTTCATTATAAAAGGACAATGACAGTGGGGGCACCAAGGCATAATGGTTAGGAACCCTCCAGATCCAAATTATCTAAATTCCAGCTTTCCCACTAATCTTTGGCAAGTTATATAATCATTCAGTTTCCTTATTAAGTAAAACAGGGATTGTAATGTCTGTCTCATAGGGTTGTTATAGTATATGTATATATGAGTACTACATGTACACATCTTAGCGAGTACTCATATATGTAAAGCACATCTACCTGACACAATAAAAGTATTCAATAAAATGTTAGCTACTGTTGTCATCACTCTTAAGTTAATATCAACCGAATGCCTCTAATTTTTAAGCTCTCGTACACATTAAAATAACAACTTTTCTGATCTTATTTATGAATATTGGCACAAAAGAATATACTCTCTCTTAGAACTAAACTGTAGTTTAAAGTATCTGCATTGTTACCAAAGGGGGGGAAAAAAATAAACTTCACATACTCTATGAAACAGGCTTTAAGGGAGGTAAAAAAGCTAAAATCTAAGTATAGTAACACAAAGAAATTGCTTCTATGATAACTTTGGAATAAGTAAGATCCACTGTCTAGATGTAATGGTAAAGCCTGTATCAGCAAATCCAGACAGGACCTCAGTACCAAGGATATCATTAGCCCCAGGGATACACAAGCACAAGACAGGGAAGATAGAGTCATCATAAATCTATAGTACCAATGGAACAAAACAAAATACAAGAACAACTCAGAGGTGCATTAGATCAGGGTTTTATGAGAATTCCAGCCACCTTTAAAAGAAAAGCAATTCAACAGTAAACCAATTACATGGAGTCTTGACTTACTGCCTCTGAAAATGTACTAAACAAAAACACAAATGATTACATAAATACTCAAAAGTAGAATCAAAATAAATCAAAGTCTGGTAAAATACCTCCACTTAGCAATTCTAAAACAAAGCACACTACTCTTTCACTCTTCTGTTTGTTTTTTCTGATAATGTCAAGGGGATATTAAAATTTAGCCAAGCAGACAATGAGGGTTTTTTTTTTAATTGGAATTCTCATCTTTACATAACATTTCTGTAGATTTTTTATTGGCAAAAGATCCCTATATGTCCTTTTATTTTAATTCCAACACTCCAAACAAACATTATAATGGTTATACTAATAATTCTATTTCTCAGAGATGAAGGCAGACAATAAATGGACTAAGTGCTTTTCCCAGTACCATAAAAACTACCTTGGAATATACTGCTTCTGTTTTCAGACAATCTAAGTTATGATGGCCAGTGGTTATATCTTTTAAAATATATACATAGATTACAAAACTGCAATAAAAATACCTGTATTGGAAATATTTTGACAGCCACATATTCATTGAGCAACTGGGCTTTCCAGACACAACCAAATCTTCCCCTTGCTTTCACTTCTAATAACTGTAGTGGCTTCAAACCTAGTAATGGAGAAGGTGGAGGTGGTCCTGGGTCCTAAGATAAATAATAATAATACTGTAAATAAGCAGAACATGATACATATCAATTCTGAAAACAAGAGTATATTGAAGTGAGTATATTGAATAATCAACTGACAGAAACAGTAAACACATATGGATAGCATTAACTTCAATCTTGTCAGAATTGAGGTCTCAAGCATTACTAATTAATTATCTACAGTGATCACAAAGCAAACAACTTGAATTAAGAGTTCTCATAACACTCAGCACTACTGTTACAAATGTACAGCAGGAGAAAATCATTTTGATCCAGAATGCTTAATTTCCCCCACTAACATTTTCTGTGAACTTCAGAATATTCTTAACAGTATTCCATTGGTTTCATCCACTGTATACTTCCTTAGAGGATGAAGATTTTAAAAGTACCAGAAAAAGAAAATTATGGCTATATCTCAAAGACTCTCCTCAAATCAACTATTTTCTCCAATGACTGTTTAAATTTTTTCTTCATTAACCTCAGAAATACCCATAGTCATTTGTAAATACATTGCAGAGAGGTATATCAAATACAAAGTACATAAAAGAAATATGTAAGTTAACATTGCCATAGCCAAACTGTTTTGTTCATTCTAATTTTTCAACATATTAACTAACAATTCATCCCTTTGCTTATAATTATTTCCTAAAATTTATCTGAGATTAAAATTATTGTGTTCAGGAACTGACTGGCAAAGAATGTACAAATAAAAATCCAGAAAAGTGGTCATGATAGTAGATAACAAGGCATGGTGAATGAAAGAAAAGTACATGGCCATAGTTGTTTTAAAAACAGAGCAAATATACTATATAAATAGGAGAACAGCATCTACAAATCACAAGGGAATCCTCCCTATCAAAGTAGAATGGCAACTCTTCACTGAAAGCATCAGTTCATTATCTGCAACTAAGGCAAGATGTAGGAAGCCTTTTGGAAAGTTTCCAAAGAAAAGCAACAGAAATGTTTCAAGGACTGCATAATGAGTTTCTGAAGAAGAACTAAAATTTCTGTGGCAAGACCAATAGATATGATGACAGCAGGTTGCACCTCAGACACTTGGAAAGGATATGTCACCCCAGATCAATGCATCTCTCTCTGCCTTTCTTCTCCCTTTATTTCCTCTCCTAACACCTCAAGGACAGTGTCTCTTTAGGCATCATTCAGACCACTGGTGCCACTCAGGAATTTTAAAAGTTTATTCCACATTAGAAAGACCCTCAACAACAGAAACATTGTGAGGCATTATATAGAAAAAACCTGCAATTTCTTCTTCTAAACTTAGATAATCTTTATAAAATGAATTGAGAATTCTTATTTTAAAACGGAAAGATAAAATAGAAGACTTCCTGTGACTCATTTCAAACTCAGATATTTATTTTTAAAAATGTCTATAAAAGTTTCTTTTCCTTCCACATTCAAAACCTGAAAGGTTAGTAAAGCTGGAGTGTTTTCGTTTAGAGGAGTGACAAGTCAAGGAGGTCAGATATAAATCTTCTAGAAAGGCAGGGCTGTCAAGTGTGATTCTCAGTGGGAGGAGCCACAACAATCTCTGGAGAGTTCCATGCAAAATATACCTTCCCAGCCTTATCCTTCAACTGACCTGTAATAAGAAATGCTACTGATAGGAGTAGGCTGCTTTGTGAATGTGGACACAGGACGGGGGGAAGCTCGAAAACTACTCTTTTGGAGGCAAAGAAAACCATTCAGTCCTCAAGGCCCAAGAATTATTGTAAACTGCATAAAGAAATATTTAAATTAAATAGAAAAAGATAGAAAGGCAAAGTTATCAAAGCTGAGATGCCAAAAACTAAAGTATGCAGATAACAGCTGAAAGCTGAAGAGGAAAAATAACAAGGTACAGGTAATATGGCTCTAAATTGAAACACTAAGATTTTTATTTTTTTTATTTGTAGAGATGGGGTCTTGCCATATTGTCCAGGCTGTCCTCAAACTCCTGGTCTGAAGCAATCTTTCTGCCTTGGCCTCCCAAAGTGCTGGGATTATAGGAGTAAGCCACTGTGCCCAGCCAAAACACTAAGACTTTTTAATAACTTTTATATAAATTGGTGATGTCTCTCTAGACAACATATACATTATCCATTCTCTGTTCTAAAGGGTGCTAACCACATAAATAAGATTCAATATATAAAATAAGATTTAGATTAATTTAATTCACATCTCCAATTAAAAATATGTCAGCAGTTCAAAATAAAATTTTAGTATAACATTAACTTCAATTTTAGAAAATATATAAGTTTCAATGTATATATTTAGAAAAATGTTCATAAAATATTTTCCAAATGCATAAACTTCTAAGTTCTTATACATTTCCAAGGCTGTTCATCAAATTTCTAAGCTACTATTATTTCAGAAAAAAAAAAACTTAGATTACTCTCTTAATATAATTATTTTCAATATTGTATTATAACAACCAGTAAAAACAACGGTATCAAAACTACTTAAAAGTTAAAAGCTTCAATTAAAAAGGAAACTTGTCAATTTCAAAGGGTGAGAAAAAGGTCTACAAAGACACATTTCTATAGTGTCCAAATGGTATGGGTTAGAAATCACATGTGTTTTTAAATGCAATTTTAAATAATACTTTTTAATACTTAAAGGACTGGGTTAAAAAAAATGAGTAGCTTTGTAGCACAGGTTACTATATTATCTGGAACACTAATCAATAAACCTTTTTGCCTTTTAAATGAAAAATTACTAATTTAAGCTTTAAATACGCCTCTAATATCTAGATTTTACTTATCTATAATCTGAGAATGTTAGAAACGATTTTCAGTTCATCAGCATCATTATAGTAGTTTACCCATAAAAAAACGGAATACTTGATCCTAGAAATAAAAATTTATACCTTTAAAATATATGAACCCTTGGGGAGACAACTTCAGACCAAAATTTCATAAATGACAAGCAACGTTCTGATGTCATCCATAAAACATAGCTTTGCCCTACTACACAGAGAAACCAATGGGGGGGGTGTGGTTTGCCAACTATAAGGACTTCAGAATTCTTGAAAACTTTCTCTAAGTTTCTAGTTCTACAATACCCATGCTATTTTATAAAACTAGAAAAATACACTTTACAACATGACTCTCATTACATTTCTTCCTTACCAATTTGTATGTGAAAATTATGGTATCAGAAGACAGTATGTTGAAATGACAAAATCTTCCCACTACCCCAACATCACTACCCAGTATCATTACTATAACCAATATTGAATAAATCATAGTAAGTGGAGAGCTGCACAATCATCTGTGATCATTTTACTGCTTAGTCCTTCACTTGAAGGGTGAGTTTTAATCTAATTATAGCCTTAAACCTCCATACAGCAAAAGATCATCAAAAGTTATACTTCTATAGCTAGTTCATTTGCTAAAGATGCCAAAGATGAAACTATTTAAAAATATAGATTTCACATTAAAACATAATGAGCTGAACCAGAAAGTCAGCCCCTATTAAAAATGAGCACATGCTAACATTTAAGCTAATAGCATACTATAAAAATTAACCAATATAAAGTTTTTAAGGCTAATGGAGTCATTCAGTGTTAACTTCTAATCAAGTAAAATAGTTGTTTCTTCATTCTACCTTAGATAAGTATAAATATCGTTTACAATCTCTTAAAATCAAAGCTGTTACTATGTCAAATCAATCATGTTTTTAATACTAAAGGTAGGGGAGAAAATGCTTTATAACATAAATGTAGACACTATAAAGGATGCACAGTAAAGCAAAAACAGTAACAAAAATCTAAGGACAAAATGTTTAGTATGCATCCACAAAAAGTTCCACAACCATAAACAAACAATGCATCTTACCTCTATCATTATATGAAAGGCATGCTTGTGAAGAAAAAAACACAGGCAAAAGAAATTACGATTCATATCCAGAATGAAATGAAAAACGACACATCAGTTACAAAAGTGAAGGAAAGAGAATAATGGTTTAGCTTTTTTAAAGTTGGCAGTGATCCAATGTATTATATTTTTAAAGAGGATTAGGAACACTTTCCTTATAAACAGAAGAAAGTGAAAAAGAAAAGAAAAACCTTGGGTATGAGGGATAGATGGTAAACAAATTCTTGACTCCAGAATAAGCTCATGTTAACTGATCCAATAGACTTTGTGCCAGAAAATAAACTAAACCAAGTATTAAATAATTATTATTTATTTTTCTAAGAGGTTCTACAGTCTAAACTATAAGAGTAAAATAAGCAATTTAACTGAGGAAGGTATAAATTGGAATTGCCTTCTGGACACCAGAGGGCAGTATTGTCTTTAGCAAAAACTAGCTAGTAGCCCTGAATAAATTTATATGTAACTGGAGTAAGTTCCTCAGACCACACTTTCTGACAGTCATCTTAAGAAACTCTAGAATTTCCTATTTCCTGGACTGCCTCATTCCCCTTTCATGGAAGACAGTATAATCATAATGATGAGGCAGAAACGTGTTTCTAGTGGCTATGTGAGTGTGTGCAACATAAATAATGCACTATGGCAAGAAAATAAGACAGAAGAACAAGAGCATTAGAATTAAGTAAAACACACTAACAGACCAGGCCTTTCGTTAACCTACATGCCCAGTCACATCAAGGTGAAGAAATTAAGCAGTGTTATCCCTGGGAATGAGTATCCACATATACTTCTCACATTCTGAAGACACTCAGATACTGACAGAGGACAAGATTATCATTTTTCCAGTCATCCCAAAACAGGTAAGGGCTTAAATTTAAAATTAACTGAAACACTGTCACCAATGTTAAGGAAGGCTGAAAATTCTTCTAACAGATGATTATATTCCCCCAGTTTCCAATATTTCTATAGAAAACAATAGCACTGACAAAAAAATTGACAACTCACATATCTATGCCAGTTGCTTAACTAGTTTTTCTTCTTTCTAGATTCTATTCCCATGACAATGATTCAAGACTATTTATAATTCATCCAAAAGGCTGAGCTAATCCTACTACCAAAACATCT